GATGTATCATGGATTTTACAACTCCCTTCGGTCTGCTAGTAACACTGACCACCAGGAAGAAAGTAATATTGACCAAGAAGATGACTCTGACTCTAAATCGTAATAAATTTTCCTTTTATGTCATTATTGATTATTAACAAATATTTTTTTATCTAAAAAATAGAAAATGTTTAATTTTTCTGTACCTTATTAGTGTAGCAAGTTGTTTCTCAATAAAAAATTTTATCGACGAAAACTGTAGTCTCATTCAAAATCCATTTTTTTTCTTATCCTAAACTATTTTATTTAGATCATCAATAAATAATTAAGACCTAAACAATAATTACTTTGTTAAAGAAGAACGATTTAGCTCTTGTAATAAAAAAAAATAACGAACATTATTATTTTCTCAACTATTCAAATGCAATTATCTCAGCATAACCAAATTTGATACGACAGTTTTCCTTGGGAGAGTCGATATGCACCCTAATAACAGACAAAACCAAATAGGCACCAACTTCGATTTTTCCCGACGACCCCTGAAAGAGCCAGACCGGGCCTGATGTGAGACCACTAGCGTTAAGACCCCTAAGAAAATTATAATGTCCCCGTAATTCTATCGTGCAGATCTAAAATCAATAGTTTATTAGTCCCTACTTTGATTTGTTTTTTTTAATATCTTTTATTTGAAAAATGACTTATTTTGAGAGCAACAAAACTATCCTGCGTAATTTAGGTATGTAATAAATACGTTTGTATCCTCTAGAAACACTATACACTAGTATTTTCCATTGCTGATTTTTCGAAGTCGTGGTTTTTATTTAAAAAATCCCTAACCATTAACAAACCTACTTTCGGCAAATTAGAAGAATCTGCTTTTACGAAATTCGCTTCCATTTTTTAAATTTAATATGCACAAACGCTAAAATATTCTGTAGATGCAGAAACTCATCTGGAAGTAGCGCCAAGATGGCTGATCGTCCCATGCGGTGACGTCATTGCATTGCCAGGGCTGAGACAAATATTCGCATTTTAAAAATCATATAGCTTGAAAACTACTCAACGGATTGAGTTGCAATTTTCAGGATCGTCTAATCATGAGCAATACTTTGTGTATACAAAAATAACCTTTTTGAAAATTTACTGAATGATCCTATTACAAGAACATGAAGTTTTTTTGTTTGAAAAATGACAAATAAATATTCACTACAGATATTGCACTTATAATATACAATATAACAGTATAAATTCTATTAAATGACCTTAAACATGTTTTTTTTTTCTAATAAAATTTTAAAGATTGTAGTGTTTCCTGAACCTTTTTAAATAAAATCCTTATTTATAACCACTATTACTGGCGCTGTTACCCTTTACATACATTATGATTACGTTGCACAACGTATTTTAACATGATTTAGATCGCAGGAGATAAGACAATCATCTATGGTTTACCTCCAACGTTTATAATCGATGATTTGCCAATTATAATTGAATTCTATTACCACTCTCCAATAAAAACCGTGACAAAAACCCGTAGCAAATGAGATGATACCTACTTTTCAGAAGCAATTATTATGATATTTTGATCTCATTAAGGCCTATATCAATTATTATGAATTCGTTTCGTATTTTTTTTACATATTTTCAAGAATGAGGTCATGACAAAAAGCGCACTGAACATTTGAAACACCGCACTTTTTATTCAAACGCTGGATACGAGGCGAATGAATCATTTAAAAAATATGTAAACATGTTTTTCTATGCTCCGCTTATCCTAGATTATGTCTATTTTATCGCTTTCTACAAATGTCTGTGATGTCAGGTCGGGTCACTTCCATTAACCAGCCTTGTTTCCTACACCTACATAAAAATGTTGTGAATACAAAAACTGTACAATGAATTACTAATAACGACGGAACACAAGCAACACGAACGCTAAATTATGGCTCTGTTAATTTTCTCTATACTGTAAAGGTAACACGAAACCAGAAATTATTCAAACCATTTTAATGATGCTGGCGGGCATATAATATCTACGCATTCGTTTTCTCTCCAATTTTTATCAAAACCACAACCGACAAATTCAAATCCCCAGCAATAACAACAATAAACTCTATTTGTTCAATTGATTCGCTTTTGCATACGCTGCACAACTACAATAAAGATAATGAAACTACTTATAAACATTTAATATTTATAAAACCGCAGAAATTCCAGTTCAACATCCTGAAACGCTTATCATTAAACTTGAATCACGCAGATACGATGTTTTAAAACGTTAAAAGTATATATAAAAGAGAGTAGATACACTAGAAAGATTGAATCTTTGCATTTTAGCCAAATTGAAATGGTAACTAGTCTTCATGAGCTGCTTCAAAATAGCAGCATAACATAAACAACTAAATACCTACCTAATAGTCTTCCCACGAATAGTAGATCGCACCAGAAACAAAATATGGTACAGGGACAGGAAACGCTATTTGACTGACGCTATTTCAAAAGATTTCGGTAACAAAAACAACCCGCAGATGTTTGGGACTAAAGCAAAACGGCCTACCTACCACCAGAGATCTGTCTTATGTACCTGCCTACATATGCCATAAACAAAGTCGACTACAGGTGCAGCTTTGAATACAATAACTTCCCTAGTAAACCCGCTGATGAGAACAACCAGGTGCAGGGTACAGACATCGGTGAAGAGAGCAGAAAAAACTAAGAGGTAGGTATTATACACATTTTTATTTATGTAGAATATTACCATCACAAATTTAACCAACTAAAAGACTCTGTCGATACAAAAACAAACTTGCCGTATGCAATAAGTCATCATATCATAGTCACTGAAGTAACTTTCAGAATAACAAGGTTATAGACATGATATGCCTAATATTGTACGGTTTGCTGATATTTTACAAGTGAACAATGTGGCTATGGTAATTTAGGATGTAATTACGTGTTATTTCAAAAGTCTACCATGCGGAAATGGGTACACACAACGAAATATTGAAATCAAACAGTTTTGTCATTTCCTTCATTAACGCAGTTATATGTAACTAGTTTATTTGTTAACCTGGAAAACTTTAGACCGAAAATACATTCGATATTGCCTCAAGCTGATTGGAGAATAATTAAAAGTAACTATTTATTATTCAGTTAATAGTAAAAATAAACGTATGGTACTTAGTTATGGGCTGCTGCGCGGCCATAAAAAAAGAGTAAGATTTTATTATCAATCATTATCAGAAGACGAATTAGGAACAGGAACAGAAGTCTAGATATATGTAAAAATATCTATATACATACATATCCCAACCATACAGCAAAACTAAAATAAAAATTATGAACGAATTAGATACAATGTTTATTTAAAGTCATTTATATTTTGTGACGGAAATGCTTTGAATGGCATACCCCATATGTTCTATCTACAACTGACTAAATAAATGCGAACAAATGATTGCCATGAATTGAATCCATCAATCGAAGCATTCGACAAAATAAACTAAAATCCAAATCGAACGAACCGGTTCGACATCATTGATTCAGCTGATCCAATATTTCAACGATTTGTTTCATAGGCTTCCTCATTCCGTTGAGAAAAAATAGCCACAGTCATTATCTCCGCTTCTCTTATACGCTCAGCCACTACGATACGAATCAACGCTACGAAGTTTTCTAGTGATATAAAAAATGAAATTGTTCCCTTAAATAAGTAAATACAATAAAATATCTTACTTCGTGTTTGACAATTTGAATGTTTCTCAGCTGGATCCTTGGCGGACGCTTGTTATTGTCACTCCAAGTACGGTCGATATTGGTAGAAGCAGACCCATTTCCACAAATCAAGTTGCTCCATGGGGCGGGAGGATTCTGGGTCCTCAAGGGTGGTAAGATGTAGAGCATTGTTTGAGAACACCACTCGGGCAGGATTAATAGCACGAAATTAAACAGTCATCTTCTAAACGGTAACTCTGTATTTATGTCCACATTATGGATTACAAAAGGAGTTATATATGTCCGACTTTATTTTACGAACATGCGGATCAAATTATACACAAGATACGGCACAACTAAGCGGGTAATGTAATACCCTTCCTCCGAGGCTGCCGAACGAAAACTGACAAAACAGCTGCGTGAACAAGCGAGCATCACATACAATCAATAATCCAACCATACAGAGCTAAAATCCCTATTACCGTTATTGTTCTTGCCAAACAAGGAAAATATAAACAGGTATAAGGCGAATAACCTTACATTTTTCCAGCTAGCCAGTTTATAAAAATAGTTATTAATAATTTTTATGGACAACTCTAAACTTTGATGAAAAACTTTTTATACGAACGTTTATAAAATTATTTTTGTTTATGTAAAAATAGATATCTATACATCGTAAATAATAAAAGCTTTACTTATGTAGTTATCAGTTATTATAAATATCTAATCAAAGATAAACGTTTTTATACATAATAATTATCAGGTCTAATATGTTTCAAAATTGTCTGGTTAAGAAAATTATTTTTTCTTGCCAAACATAAATTTTCAATTTAATGAAATGCAGTTATCAGACATATCTCTATCTGATAAATAACGCAGATTATTGTTAACGGTAATTATTGGCGTTCTGGTATCTAGTGATTCACAATTTTTAATTAACAAGACTACTTACATGATTAGGTGAATTATTTGAACTGGGACTCCGTTGTATAGTCACTAGTGCCATTTTCCGAAAACACCACAACTTTTGAGTTATTTAAAAGAAAACACTAAATTAATTTCACAGGTTTAACACAAAACACTACATTATTTTTGACAATGACAAGATGATTACAATTTATAAACGTCAGACGTCAGAGCCATGTTCAATACTTTTATTTTGACCAATCTAAACACTTTTGGTTTGACTATTATGTTATCTCCGCCAATCATATCGCGTCGACGAGCAAAATCCAGTTGCTAGCTAGGGCGACATCTCTAGGAATTTTTCGTAATATCCTATAATTATAACCCATTTTTAAAGCGCACTATAACATAACCTTAAAATAAAAATAGAACTTTTCAATACGCAGTTGTGAATTTCTACAAGCAACATGAGCAAAATATTTACTCCTACTAATCAAATACGTTTGACGAATGTGGCCATTGTGCGAATAAAAAAGACAGGAAAAAGATTTGAAATAGCTTGCTATCGAAACAAAGTTGTGTCATGGAGAAATCAAGTGTAAGTAGAGCACAACATTGCACAATTGTGCCTGTTCGATGACTAATTAACATCAATTCATTTACAGCGAAAAAGACATAGACGAAGTTCTTCAAACACACACAGTGTTTACTAATGTTTCTAAAGGACAGGTTGCCAAAAAAGAGGATTTAATTAAGGCTTTTGGTACAGACAATCAGACAGAAATTTGTAAACAAATCTTAGCAAAAGGTGAATTACAAATATCAGATAAAGAAAGGCAAAGCCAAATTGAACAAATGTTTAAGGATATAGCGACAAATGTTGCAGACAAATGTATAAACCCAGATCTGAATCATCCATATCCTGTGACTATTATTGAGAAAGCAATGAAAGATGTCCATTATTCCATTAAACCGAATCAGTCCACCAAACAACAAACCTTGCAAGTGATTAAATTATTGAAAGATTTTATGCCTATTCAGCGAGCAAAGATGCGACTTAAAGTTAGTTTAGGCAATAAAGCAGCAAAGAAATTGAAGGATAAATTGTTGAAAATGGAGGACGTGGAGATCGAAAATGAAGATAGAGATGAAAGTACGATTACTTTCCTCTTTCTTGTCGATCCAGGCTATTTCAAGGAAATCGATGCTCTGGTTAAAGCTGAAACTAAAGGGTCGGCGTTTTTAGAAGTTATATCGTATAAAGAAATGGTAGCAGCAGATGAACATTTTTGAAGTTGTTTGATTATAATATTGTTGTAATAAATTATTTATCTTTTGCACTAATACGTTAATATATATATCGTTTGTCAATATTATTCTGTTATTACTACAGAGTGTATCGTTGAATGGGGATGATATTTTTAAAACATTTACCTATGACTTTTAGAAACACTATAATAAGTTTGATTTTTCAAATTTTGTTGTGAAACTGATGTTTTTTAACTTTTTTCTCGTAATTTTCATACTACATCCTGTTTTATTTAAGGTTATTGACAGAATTCACAAACTAAACGGTGCTTTCAAAAAAATGGTAACAAATACTTTGCACAAAAAACTTGCCAGTTTAATTCAAAAGGCACACAGGGGCTTGATTTTTGAAAACAGGAGAACTGATTCTCCAGAGAAAAATTCGCCTGACAAATTTCTTAAAAACTTAAATATGTACTTATTTTTTAACGTTGAAGGAATCCAATTCTCTAGAGAATTTAATTTATGCTGTGGTATGTCGAGGATATATTTACAACTGACCAATCAGCGGGCAGAGTTTTCTTCAATATTTCAATGCCATTATTGGCGACCCTGATGTTTAGTCACTTGATTTGATTTTGAAGTTTGTTTTGTAAATGTCATTATATTCGTCAGGGAGACTAGACATCTCCATGATATTCGTAGTAATTTAATATAACTTCAATTTGAATAGAAGTATATTTGAAAACACAAAAAAAAGGTCGGAATTTTATGATAAATAATAGAGATGTGCCGCGAACATGTCCCGAGTTCACGATTGAAAAATTGTATGCGCATGCGCGAAATTATTTGTTGCATTCATAATTCCCGCAAAAAATGTTTGAGGTTGGTAATTGTTTAACTGAAACTGACATTTTAAAAATATAACCTTTTATATGACCATATTTTATTTTTAGCAAAGTTAACGATTAGTAAATAGTAATCACTAATCAGTTGATCCTTAATTTAAAATCTAATACACAAATAGTTTATAAATGAAGTATGCCAAAATCAACAGTTTGGTTATATTTTTCTGAATCAAGTAAAAATCATAAATGTAACCTGCTCAAAAACAATTTTTAAGAATTCCAGTAGGATGGAAAAACATTTTAATAACTGTATTGGCTGTCCGGGGAAAATTAGAAACCAGTTTATGCGGTGAACTGCTGGTGTTATCAGAATCGTGTACCATTTATTAATTAAAAAGCTGCAGAAATTAACAATTTATACACAACACAAATATTTGAGTTCATATTTATTAGCTGCAATCACAATATCATTTGGCAATTACTTAAATATATACAATATATACAACGAATATCTATATATCTTGTAAAATAATGAAGGAAAAACTTGAAAGAATATACTTTACTTTCTTCTTACACATATCACCCTAAAATAAAAGATCACTGTTAAAAAAAATCGTAAGCATAAACGAAATACTATCAAAACTAGTTAATATAAAAGTTTCAGCCTGTTTCAATTAAAACAAATTGATAACGTTTCAATTGATGCCACTAAATCGCTAGCTACAAACTAAATTATGTAATAGCTATGCAATTACTGAGCCTGCACTTTCTCGTCGGGTTTGGGAATATAAATAGTCTCGGCCCTCTGGTCATGCTTGGCGGCTATTCGAGAGATTGTAAACAAGAAATCCGAGAGTCGGTTGAGGTATATCTGAGCCTGTTTGTCTAGTAATCCCTGTCTTACTAAGGGCACCAGGATTCTCTCGGTTTTCCGACAAATGGACCTCGTTACGTGAAGTGAGGCACTAGCCATGCCTCCACCCTAAAAGAAATTATTTTGCGTCACGACAGCAGGAAAACGAGCAAGAATATTATCGAATCTTTCATACCGGTATAATATATTGTTCTGGTGGGGGAAGTTGCTTTGAATATTCGTGGATCCAGTCCTCCAATTCGATTGTATACGTGGCAGGAATAGTACATTTATTTAGATTCGATCGTGAAATTGCAGTACTGATATCTATGATAATGGTTTGGATTCTCTTGAGCTTATCTGTGTACTGCTGTTCAGATTCGTTTGCATGTTCCTTAGCTAAACTGCAATAAGAAAATATCTGTAAAAGTTGTGATGAAAATCAGATTTTACTATTAATAAGCGTTATATTTAAATAAATCCTCATGATTTTTCATATTCCCAGCCTTCCCTAGCTATTCCTACATTGTTATTTACAGCATTCATACATGTGTATATAAAAGAAAGTATCTATGACTATTTACCCTAAAAAACTCAAAAGTTCTTCTGTAGCTCCTATAGCGCTAAAAATTTGATTATCCTTGGGTAAGGTAGTCCCATCTATTGTCTTTGAGGTTCCATTATCTCCAAGTCTACTAAATGAATCAGGCAGGATTTTTTCACTTTGGTCTTTTAAATTCTCATTTTCTGGAACTTTCTGTTTTAAGCTTCTGAAAACGAAAATCTGTTTATTTTTAATTTAAAAAAAACGAAAGTACACATACTCCTTTGGAATGCAATACGTTCTTATTAATTGTAATTGTCGAGGCTGTAACAGTCGCCTAAATACCATTTTTATACACAAACCTGTCTCAAATACAAATATAACCTCGCAAAAACATCAATTTTGATTTGACGATTTGACTTGGTTACCCCTTCCTCCTCGACTCTTGTGTTCTGTGATATATACATTTTCTTAGGGGCTTTCGTTTTGGTAAAAATATTACCTATTGTGTTATTAGCAACTAATATCAGTTCAGAGTAACTCTAAGTTGCTAGTAACTACTATTAGCTGTATTTGTTTTACCACTTGGTTAGTTCAGTTTGGTCAAATTGACCAAACTAGAAGTGACCGTGATTTGAACTAACTTTAGGTTAAACACACATCTACTCCATATTCATTATTAACGGCTTATTTTTATTATTTAGATATATGATTATTATTATTTGTAGGTTATGTTTTGTTCGGTTATCTTGTTCACTTACTAACCACGATATTAGGCTAGATTAGATCGGCAAGGGGGGAACTGATTTTGGTCATATTTTAGTTTGTTCAATTGCTTAAAAAAACGAACTTGGTCAGAACTCTACTGAAAGTGAATTAGCCAGTGACCAAGTGTGTAAAACAAACTAACAAATACAGCTATTGTTACCTAATCGAAAGGTCCTCTGTTAGGTTTGGTCTAAGCCACAGGCCATGAGAATAACTAGATTACGTTCGTTCAACGAGCTCATGCCATGGAATAATAATAAAATATCGAATTATAGAAATGTAAACAGTATGGTTTCTATGGTTTGTAATTAGATCTACCAGTGGCGTATCGAATACTCAATTTTACAGAGGGGCAAGTCGAAACCACAGATCAAGAAAAGACATAGATAAATAATTCAGGGTATTTGTTTGAATCTCAAATGATTCATGTTTATATTTATTATTCCCCGTGTTGTGATTGGTTCATTTAAGTTTCGCTCCACTTTTACGCTCAAATTTTGACATTTTCCAGAAAATTCGAGTTCGCCATTGTTGTATTTCGTAGTGTAATCTAATGTTATTGCGTTTTTAATGATTTCGTGCTTGTTAGTAAGATTTTTTCCAGTGAAAAAAGTGTTGAACAATGCCGAAGAAGTGCTATAGTTGCAATATGTACCAAATGAAACAAAATCAACGATCGTTCCATAAGTAACAATAATCATAGACGTAGCAATAAAACAAGCTGTTGGGGTTAAATTTAAATATTTCACTTTGACAAAATTTAAGTGCCAAAAAGCATTAGTAAATCAGATAAACTAAGGCGTAAAACATTTAATAGATTTTTTTATATGTTACAGATTTCCGAAAAATCTTCTAATTAGAAGACAGTGGTTTAGAAGCTTAGGAATTCCATATACAGAAACAATATCTATATATACCTATATATGCTCTGACCACTTTTGTAATAAAGCATAAGTTAACAAAAAATATTTTATTTCATAATCAATAAATTTCTATTTGAGTAATATGGTTGTCTTTTTTCATTCATAACATTCATTCGATAGAGACAACCTAAAAAATAAACCAATTGACAGCTTTATTAGGGACAAACTTTAACTCCAGTAATATAGCCGTAACACGCAATGTAAAAATCTACATGTAATTCTATATAAAATATATATTTAAACCTGTTCTAATTTTTAGTTTTTTATATAAATTCACACATATGTGTTTGTGATAGGTAGGGTTAATGGACCGACTCTATAAAAATGAATTATAATTTTAAAATATGGTCAATCTTTTAGTTTCCTATATACAAATTTTATAAATTCTATGTAAGAGTTGATACCAAATTTTACACCGTGTCATAATCTATTAAAATTAAAACTAGGATATACCTACCCAAATGGAATTTAAATACTTTGTTTTGTTAAAATCTCGTGAAAATCATATTAATTAACAGCTTAAGAGTATGATGAAATGTATCATTCCTTTTGTATATAAATGAGAGTAAAATTGTGTCAGTAGATCATCTCAACCGTATTCCAGGAAGAAGTAAATGTAGGGGACTGTGGAGTAAGTAATAAAATAGGTTGAAGAAAAGTTAAATAATCTCATAGATACCTTAAGAAATAAAACACGCTTTCTTAACATACCTATTACACCATATTTTCCCTAGTTTATCTGCGGAAAATAAAATTTACAATTATAATTATTAAACTTGTTATTTTAGTTGCAATCAGCCCCTATAAAATGATACGCCACTGCCCATGAGGGAATGTAAACACAACTTCCTCACCCTTCCGATGAACTATTTTGGCTTCAAGCCACATAGGTATAAATTATGTATCTATGTATTTTCTTGATCTGTGGTCGAAACTTTAATTGTCAATTTTATGGGCGTTCTCTACATCTGCGTCGAGTATAACTTCAAATCACAAAACATAAACTACATGCTTTGTGCTTCAAATATTCTTCGTCCTTGGATAATTTTGGTCTGTTACAACCACTATTTTCAAAATAAAATGTGTTCTACTAAAAAAAACCTTTACTCAAATATGTGAAACTTGGATTGATGAATAATGAATTTAACACTAATTATTTATTTAATTAAAGGTAAAAATTTACTAAAATGAAACGCAAATAGTGGCAGAAACACTGCTAGTACACAGCTAGTTCAGGTTTTATTGCTTTGAATTTAATCATACAAATTGCAAGTACATTAATAAAACATCAAAAAAAATAAAACAAAACTTTAATCGCAATAAAACTTCATATAATAACAACAAATAAAAAATATATATTTAAGAAAAACTACAGGACTTGATGGAATCTGAATAGTTTTTGTGGGACAAAATACTTTTAGAGAGTATTTCCTCAAACCTACAAATAGGGTAAAAATATATCAAATCGATTTAAAAAATAAATACTTACTGAAATCTCAAATGTTTGTTCTCTTGAATCAAATAAGTAGTAGGCAGGTTGAGCAATTCACGACTTAAATCTACTTCAGGCACACGTTTATCTAGAAATAAGTATCGAAATTGTAGGAATGAATGCCAGTCAAATAAATTCAACTCACTTTTATTTTCCGTAGCTTTTACAATAATATTCTTATATGCAATTTCACTTTGTTCGAAAGATTTCGACAATTCGGCAATGTGATTATTGTACTGTGAAATCCACGACATTAAAGCCTCTACTGAATTCTGTACATTAACCATTGCACTGAAAAATGACACGTAAATATATAAAAGAAGAACTAAAACTAAAACCGTGTTCTACACGACAAGAAAATCATTTTGGAATGCAATATATCATATTAGGTGTGCTCTTTGTTGAAATTTTCCATTTGACGTTCGTTCAAATGACATTTTTTCAAAAAATCAAATATAAAGATGAAAAACTAACCCATTAATTTAAATCAGAAGATGTTCGAAGTTATCCCCAATGCTTTCATTCACACAAGCTATCTTTCGGTATATAAGTGCACATGCTCTTTTAAGCGAGCGTTATCTCCAAATTATTCTCTGGCATGTTTTATGTCTTCGCATGATTTGTTCACTGTGTTTACATTAGTTTTATTCACTAAACTTTTCATGCCACACATAAAAAAATCGCACAGATTCCAATATGGCAACCTTAGAGGTCATAACGTTAACAATACCAGCCCAAATATTTCTGTTAGTTTGTTGCCCAAAAAATTGATATTTCCCATATGAGCCCGTTTCGAAAATGATTAGTAAAAGTTTCCTCATTTATCACCACAATAAATTTGGTGATTTTTATCTAACAAGTGTTTTAATGTAAAAGCCATTCACTTCGCAAAATTTTATGCTTTTAGCATAAGATGCCTCAACTTGCTGTTTAATAACTTTTGGTACTAGTTGTCAAAATATCTTCGACCTAGAGCATTCTAAGTCACCTAGGTAAGGTTTCTCAAGCCATTTGAGCAACATAAACAAAACTACGGGCTGCCAGATAAAATCGCAAAGAAAAACACACATGATCGCGATGCTCGTGCAGTGTTTTGGTGACATTCGCCATAAACTAACATATCAATTTGAAGTGCAAATCACCACCAGAGTAAACAAAAAGAAAATGAGAAAGAATGACGATTATTGTACGATAAAGCATTTTTCAAATTTCTGTTCGAGTTTCAGTTATTAGTATAATCATATTATTACTTGATTTATTTAAAATGCTGTTTTATTTATTGTTGAGGTTTTGAAAAAAATACTATTTGAAAAACTTTTCTTGACGAGTTTCGTGTCAGATTAAAAGGAAAAGCTCAACTTAAAAAACACCCTGTATTGGAAGAGAAGTTGGTGATGAATAAATGTTACAAAAACGAAGTCGATGTTATATCATAAAAGAATTTCTTGCTTACCTAATGTAACTTTTAAATCGCTTGCTACGTATCATCGTATCTTTAGTTTTAACCGTGTCTAAAACAATATCTTTAATACTGGAAGTAAACGTTTTAGGGTTAATCTCCTTATTACTGGCACTCCTCTCTATTAGGGTAATAACCTTTTGATACCTAAAAACCAATGGTAAGTTCAAGGAAATTTATTTAAAAAATTTAATTTCCTCACTGTTCTTCTATGTTACAATTATTAATAATTTCCTCCATTTCTGGTAGAAGTCCGTTTAAAACCTGATGCCGTTTTATAATCACAGTAATTTTCTTCTTCAGTTCATCGAAATTTGCTATGCTTTTATCTAAGCTTGTCAATAACTTCTGGCAATGCGTCAAACAATCTTTATACTCCTTGTTTGTATTCAAATCGACAATACAAGCGTTGTTCTTTCGAATATTATTGTAACACTCAATTTGAGTGATAATTTTTACTATATTCTTGGTGCAACTAGTAGCGTTGTGTTTCAAATATTCCACCAAATTCTTTAAATAGGCTATAAACAGATTAAAGCTCTCTTTAAACGTTTCCACGATGGCCTTTTCGGTTGTTACATAGTAAACTGTTTGAGCATATAACGGTTTAATAAACCGCATATCGAACTTCAGCGTTGATTGTATCAACTCCTTTATTAGTTTCGGAAAGTTGTACGTCACAGCATCGTTCATTAATATACCCCTTTTAAAAACGAATACGTTATTACTATTCTTTAAAATTTCCACGACGAGACTGGAAGGATCGATGCTAGTCATGTATTTATTAAAAAGGACTATCATGTCGCTTTTCGGCACTTTAATATCTCTCGATATCCATTCTTCTAGTGTGCTAAACAGCGTACTTTCGTTTATTTCATAAGAATAAAATTCGAGTTTCGGAACAGAAAAAACTGTGATGATTCGTTTCTTTAAAATATTTTTTAAATAATCAAAAACTTTGACATCATTTGGAAAATCTAGCGATCGTACTCTTGGATCGAATTGCAAAACATGTCTGAGCCAGACTTCTATACTTTGTTTTAACGAATTCGATATGTAATTCTCCTTTTTTATTTCGGAGGAATATGCTACTCTTCCGGAATACGAAAGATAAATACAGATATCTTCCGGTCCCTTTTTTCTGATATCTTCAAATCTAAAATAACATATACGAAACTTCAATACTGCTTCGATATGACTAAAAGTAGAATACACAAAACAACCCGAAAAATCATTGTACTTTAAAAGCAAGGGCTGTAAAAGTCTATTAAATATTGTCAGTTCTTGTTAAATTCGATTAAGTGATACTGAATTAGACTTGCCTTTGAATCGGCGGAAGATGCGGTAAGAATGGAAGAACGCCACAAATTATCTCAAAAGTCAGAACCCCCATGGACCAGAAATCCACGCTACTATTATAGTGCTCCGTCTGAAAAATTTCAGGAGCCAGATAATGCAGGGTACCCACGAAGCTCACTACCGTGTCATTTAATTCTTTGGCATAACCTAAATCAATTATCTTGTAAATGGTATTACCTTTTCGATTATCACAGTGTTGCAGAACAATGTTATCTGGTTTTATATCTCTGTGAGTAATATTCAAGTCGTGTAAGTGATGCAGACCACTGCTTATGTCTTCTAAAATGCACCTGACGTCCTCTTCTTGTAATCCCGAAGTATTTTTCGGTTTGCATAAAAGGTGTCTTAGATTTCCTTTGCGACAATACTCCATTGGGAGCAAGGGCAATTTAGTAGGATTATTTTTAAGCAATCCTTTTTCTAATTCAGGAGGAATAGGTTTGTATTTAATTATATTTGGATGGTTTATAATTTGCATTATTTGGACCTCATTATTCCATCGATGTTTCTGTTTGTCGGATAGGTTAGTATTTGTTTTAAACTTGCATTTTTTTATAGCTGTAAAAAATATTTAGTAATAATATTAAAAAAATAAATTACTTAAGACCTACCAATGCAATCATCATTACTACCATTTTTCCAGAGACTTACAATTCCAAATGCTCCAGATCCTAATTCTAAAATTTTCTTCCAGTCTCCGATTTCATTAGGGCCATTCATGACTTATTTCGATTTAATTATATAAGATATAAAATATTACACACTGAAAGACACACAAATGTATAGTTTAATTTAAATTATAGGCGCATTATATCTTGTTTTATTAAATATACTCACTTCCCCATGCACAAAATCTGTAGACAAAGGCAGTACGTGATTAATCTATGTTATGAAAACATATTGCTCTAATTCCCATAATAAAAAACCCACATTTATATTTATCTCCTGGTAATTTTTAGATTTGGATTGAAAAATATCAAACATTAAAACAGTGTGAGTGCAAGAGCAAGAGCCAAGAGTTCTCACAAGTCACAAACACAAACTCACATATCAATATCAAGGTTCATTCATAGTCATAGGCCAAAAAGGTAAGATCAACTATCAACAACGTTGAAAAACCTGACGTCACTATTTAAATTTCATAGTCACGAAATTTATTATACATTATTTCAAACAATCAAATTCATTTAGTTTAATGACAATTGTATTCCACATTAGCTATTTCAGCTGTATTTCAAATAAGATTTTTCAAAGAACATTTAGATTCGGATTGAAATAAAAATGCAATATGGAGGCTAAATAAAATTAAGCTAGTAACATACTTACCTAAATTGTTTCCTATTTTTTTTCCATTTGCAATTTTTCTCTCGCCACTTAATTGAATTCTAGAATTGAATTAATAAATTATTTATAATGTTCATATTTCGATTTCAATATGCCTGCTTACCTAACGGGGAATAAAATATTGCATGGTAGGTATGTTTAATAAATGTATTTAAGTATTTAAGTGATAGAAACGTTAAATATGTAGACATATATTAGTAAAAATTAGACTTGCATATTGCATATTTGTAACTAAATGAATTGACCACTGACAAAATTTCGAATTATATTTCGCGCCGAAACGAACCGGTAGTTCGTGTCGTATTTCCGATGACACGCGAAATTCATTTTCTTTTTTGTTTGCGCGAATCGGGGCTGCCGTTGTTGGCGCGTGTAACGTGAAATTTTTTAATATTTTCCAAGCAAATAGTCATGGCAGAGTCAATCGATGACTTATTTGATTGTTTTGAAGATGCGGACGAAGAAGAAAATGCAGCAAAAGGGGAGGATTCCTCGGAACAGGAGCAGGTAACTGAGAGGTTTGTGTCGGTTTTTCTTAACCTCAAAAACACACGCTAATGTCGCTAATGGATTGTACGATTTAGGGTTTCGGAGGTTTGCATTAAGGGTGACAAGCGAAAGAACGAGGGTGACGAAGAATTCGTTGCTAAACGTAGCAAAGCCGACGATGTAGACGTAGCGTGTATTAAGTACGTATGTGATTTTTTCTTTGTTTTTTTTTTGTAACGACGCTTTTTCTCGTTTAGCTTCGAGGAGTTAAAAAACCGTATAGTCGTGCACAGTATAGACACACTTGATTCTTGTACACACGAAGTAGCTTGTCCACCGGGTTATAATTATGCTCCACTGCAACCACCTAGGGGTGACCCTGTTAAAAAGTACCCATTTGCATTGGATCCCTTTCAGAAAGAATCCATATTGTGTGTTGACAACAATCAATCTGTCTTGGTGTCTGCTCATACATCTGCAGGAAAAACAGTAATAGCAGAGTGAGTTGAAATAAATTTTTTGTCCGATTTTAATAGTAAAACGTGATACATATTTGCAGATATGCAGTAGCAACATCTTTAAAAAACAAGCAGAGAGTTATATACACAACGCCGATAAAGGCGTTGTCAAATCAGAAATATAGAGAGTTTCTCGATGAATTTAAAGATGTTGGTCTAGTTACTGGGGACGTAACAATAAATCCAAGTGCATCGTGTCTCATTATGACGACAGAGGTAAATTGATATCGATAAATGTTATAATCGTTTCGTTTATTTGTGTACAAATATTAAAAACAGATTGGGGTAAGGAACACGTTTATAAAAATAAATAATATATTTTTTTTGACATTTCAACTGTCTAAAGAAACACTGTCAAACTAAATTGTTAAATATGTGAAAACCGTGTTTTTTTTAAAGTTTTTACTCATATTTTCTTTTCCTTATGTGAAAAATATAAAGCAATCTAATTTATTATTAACCACGTAAGGGTTGACGCACCAGTTATTGTACCAGTTCTGGCTTAGTTTTACCGAAATAATATTGAGCGAATATTTTTTCCTTCACAGTTTCTCATTTTTCGACCATTATTTCTCCCTCACAATTCTATTCATATTTTTGTTTGATTTAAAGTCGTCCAGCTGCGTAAACACCTTTATTGGCAGTAAAGTAGTTCACCATTGTGACAAAAATAGTTAAAAATTTGAAATAAACTTCTTAAAAAAATCAACAATAAATATTGGACGAATTTTAAATAAATTTGATTTTTATGGTTAACATTTAGTATTATTAGTATTAGACTGGGTTTTTATACCTTTTTTTTTAATTATCAGATTTTTTTTACTCTATTAAATTATACATATGTTTTTTAGTTTTGTAGAATGCCTTCCAAAGACTTTAACCAAATTACTGACAACTAAAGTTACAAAAAATGAAGACAAATTTCTTTTATTCTTTCATTCCAAAGATATTCTCAAAGAAGTCCTCTGTACTTTAATTTTGTGATTCTGTTTTTGGTTAAAATTGTATATATATAGTTCGAAAGAAAGAATATTTATAGTCAAAGTTAGTTGAAAGTTGGCAAAAAAATTAGTTTTCAATAATTTTTTTTTTTAAATATTGCAGACCATAAAAGCACAATTATTCTTACATATTTGGTGGATCCAAAATAACTTTAGATTCACAGCAAATTGACCCCGGAACAAAAAATTTTTGATTAAGTTGAGGCTTACAGTAAAACCTTTAGCTTAAAACTGACGCAGTGACTCTACACCTTTACCTTAAATGAACATTTAATAAACAATTTTTGATAAAATATGTAGTTTTCACATATTTTTCGTATTAACGAATTAAATTTAATGAGTTTTAAAATATAGCTTATAAAATTTTTAAATAGTGTTCTGGGTATGTCTTTTTTTCTAGATCTTGCGTAATATGTTGTACAGAGGTTCGGAAATAATGAGGGAAGTGGGGTGGGTAATTTTCGACGAGATTCATTACATGCGTGACAAAGAACGAGGGGTGGTTTGGGAGGAAACTTTAATTCTACTTCCTCACAATGTACATTTCGTTTTCCTGTCCGCTACCATACCGAACGCTAGGCAATTTGCCGAATGGGTGGCGCATCTGCATCACCAACCGTGTCATGTCGTGTACACGGATTATCGGCCCACACCTTTGCAGCATTTTATTTATCCGGCAGGCGGGAGCGGGATTCATATGGTTGTAGATGAATCGGTAAGAGTTTTTGCAAAAAAAAAACCTTAAAAAAACATTTTTTATTTGATGAGATATGTGTTCAATATCAACGATTTCAGGGTACGTTTAAAGACGACAGTTTCAACGCCGCAATGGCCGTGTTGCAAAATTCTGGAGATGCCGCCAAGGGCGACCAGAAGGGTAGGCGCGGGGGTATGGCCAATAAAGATCCCACGCAGACAGATATTTTTAAAGTTGTGAAAATGGTCATGGAAAGGAACTTTGCTCCTGTGATCGTTTTCAGCTTTAGTAAAAAAGATTGCGAAGTTTATGCTATGCAAATGACGAAATTGGATTTTAACACAAGTAAGTCCCATAGTAACTTAAAAAAAAAATAGCGTTGGATGCAGTTTGCTGTACGAATAAAATTTCAGCTGCCGAAAAACAGTTGGTCGACGAGGTTTTCAACAACGCCATGGACGTTTTGTCGGACGACGACAGACACTTGCCTCAGGTCGAAAACTTGTTGCCTCTCCTCAGGCGAGGTATAGGTATACATCACGGAGGTTTGTTGCCGATATTGAAGGAAACTATCGAAATACTTTTCGGTGAGGGGCTTATTAAAGCCTTGTTTGCAACAGAAACCTTCGCGATGGGTCTGAATATGCCGGCGAGAACGGTTCTGTTCACCGGTATGAGGAAGTTTGACGGACAGGAGTATCGATGGGTAAGTGGAAATTCGTTTACTAATTAAATATTCTTATATTGATAGATTGAATTAAATTGAACCAAATTGAATTTAAAAAAAAAAAACGAGTAAGAATTGCGATATGTGGAAGCAGTGATAATTTTATATTTAGTCAGGAACTGTGGGAAATGTTGGGGAAACAGAGTTTTCAGGATTTTTAGTTTTTTTAAAAACGTTTATATTTTAAGCAACTTAAATTTATCGCCTAGTGACTGACAGAAAGTACCTGTCATGCAAGATTAATTGTGTTTTCAATTTATTTGCACTTTTGTTTTTGTTTCTAACTGAAAAAACTTCCATCCTTTATTATTTAAGGGGTATAGCCATTGTGACGGCCTAAAAAGTGAGCAATTTTCATTTTTTTGACCGTGATAATTAAGGAATATGGGAATCTAGTTTTTTTTATTTTATTGTGTATATTCAACTTGGTTCATATAAATTTTTATTAAAAGATATTAAGTTGTTACAAAGTTATGAGCCTTGCCGCAAAACCTTCAGAAAAATCACCTTTCCATGGCAGCATTGATTTTCCAAAAACGGGTTATCTGAAAAAAAGAAATTAAATTGCATTAGAATCTAAATTAATGTAGTTATCTTTATAAGTAGTCATATTTTGATTGAGTCATTTATTTTGATTTTTTACAAAATGGCGACCGTTTGAATTTTTTTTCACTTTTTTGCCCCTATTTTGCATTTAAGCAGTCTTAAAAAATAGTAATAATCAAAATTTTGAAAATTGACTACACAATCTTAGCTACTGCAAAGACGAATAAAAAAATTGAAAATCGGTTGATGATTAATCGAAATATCGATGCGACCAGTTTGAAAAAGTAGTTTTGAGAAATCATGTAACGTATTTATACTTACATCAAATTATTGAGTAGGCCATATGATGGTTCTTCCTCTACATCTCCAGTGGTGTCCTTGGCATTGTTTTTTTTATTTTATTGCCCTTTTCCGCACGATTCTTCGTCAGTCCCTAGCGTACCGATACTGTAGCGTACCATAAATCTATGTCGTCTATACTAAAATGACTGCAACTCAGTCAACTTTCGGAATTTTGACTTAAAATTTTATTCACTTTCTTTCGAAGGTATAAATAAATTAAAGTAAAAAAAAAATTTTCACCTTTCACAGTGGCTACCCCCCTTAAGTTAATAGTACAGGATGAATATATATTCAGCACACACCAAGTGTTGCAAAGGATGTAAATTTTTAATTTCTTTTTAGTCTCCTTAATGAAACATTTTACACTGAATAAGAACATTTCTGTAAACATATCTCTTAAAACTGTGTTTTTTAGAATGTTTTCGTAGACTGCCTCATATCAATCTGTATTTTCCACACAACATCTAATAAATTTTGTGTGGAACGAGATCAGTCAGCTCAATCGTACGAAACTCGAGTTTTCACGAATTTTCAAACTTCTGTGGAATTCTCTGGAAATTTTGAAAATCACAATAAATCATATTTTCAAACTGATTTCAGTGGATTTCAAATTTAATGTTCTACAAGATTTTATAAGAGGTATTTTTCAAAAAATTTATTGTTTTAACTGAATCTAAGAAAATAATGCAAATAAAATAATAACATTTTCAGTTGTTCATATTTAACTCAACGAGGAAACATTTGCGGTTATATTAAATAGGAACTTTTTTGTTCAATTTAAGTGATCTATGTTATGACCAAAGATGATGCCTTTTGTTTGCGGACACCCTGTATATTTGTATTTTGATTTATTAGATTCTGATAAATTACATTGCGATTATGAGTCTGATGTGATTCATCATTAATTGCTTTAAAATAAACGTCTTTTGAGGATTGACAAAATAAAAAAAATATTAAACTGTCAAAAGTTACAGGTTTTGCAAAATTTTGAAACGATTTCAGGAAGTGATGGAGGGACTAATTCTTTTTAAATTAATTAATTTAAATTTTTTTAATTTTTTGAAAATTTAATTTTTATTTTTAGCTTTATTTAGGTATTTTACCACCTCTGAAAAAAATTCTATATTAATGAAATGAATCCTTGTATCAAAAGGAAAGTTGGTGATGTTTTCAAAATCAATGTGTTTTTGTTTCTAAAATGAATAGTGAGGTTTCGTTTTAAGATAAGCTTGAATGGTTTAAATTTTTGTATCAACGACCAAAGTCTAATAGCAATTTTTTTTATCTTTAATTGTTACGTGTAAAACATAAAATTGTCGTCAATTTATTGATGACAAAATTGTGAGATAAGGACTAGCTCTAATTTTGCAATATTGTGAATTCTAGTTATATTTTGATTTAAAAATATTGTGTCAACCATTTTTATAATAAAAATCGTTAAACGTGGCTCTTTGTTGCCTTGAAATTATTTAAACAAATTTTCTGGGTAATAATTACAGCAAAAATTCGAACTATGTAATGCACTTGCAGTATCCCCAAAAATAAACAATAATTCATGAATTTCTTTGCTGTGTGAAACTGCTATAAGAAAAATTACAAACAATACAAACTGTAGATTTCTTTTGTATTTATTGACTGCTTCACTTAATTGTAAGTTCATTTTGCATATTACAGGACTGTATTATTAAAAAGTAAATCTTTCTATATTGACAAAAAATTTGGTGATGATTACTGGTTATTTAAAGTCGGTAACTTACAGAGAATGTGACTGATCACTTTGGTCATTTTTAAACTTCAAAAATTTAATTAGTTTTTACCATATTTAGATCATTACCGAGGAACAACGTATGTTTTTATTTTTCATTTCTAAACAGTTTTTTTTAATTTTTATTGGCCATTTCTTGCCTTTTAATAAATGCCTTCTCTAAGATAACTTCTCACAAAACTATTGACTGCGGATTTTTAAGAAACATAAAAGTAAATTATTAATCTTTGTAATGGAAAGCACGATCGTACTAAAACGATTTTGTTGCTGTTCTCGGGCTAGGTTCTGTGGGGGCGGATCTGCTATCAGAACCTGTAGGCCCGCCCCGACAATATTGTTTTTTTTTTGCTGGTTCTGAGGACACTAGTGGACGTGTTCAGACGTGAACCCAATAAACCATGAACTTTAAATAGCACAGAAAATTTAAAGTATTTAACAGTTATTTTCAAATGTGAATATTCATGTATCATCACTTAACGATAACCTTTTTTTTTTAGTAATTTTTTAGCAATTCTAAAAAATACTAGACTATTTTTATGCTTAGATAAATATACCTAGTAAAGGTCAAAGTTTTACATGTTTTTTTTTTTGTGATTTCGTAGCAACACAAAAAAACAATTGAATGTTTTCATTTGGAATTACAATTAAAAGAAATTTGTTTTTCTTTTTTTAATGGATGCCATAACACTTACTTACAGCATATTCTTTTGGCCATACGTTACTTGTTTTCCTTCAAATTTCATATTCCTACAGTCCTAAAGAATATTCTAACAATATATATGAATACAGGGTGTTTTGTGTATATTTAAAAAAAGCAAAAGTTTGATTTGTTTGTCGAAAATGCAGCATTCAGTGGTTTTTCTAAGATATGCCTAAAATCCCAAGTAAATTTGCTAAAATTGCAGTCATTCTTTTTTCTAAGTAAAAAAAAAAAAACTAAGGTGGTAAAGGAGGTAGAACGTTATTTGCATAACTACAGTATAAGTTGCTTTTACTGTTATAAAATCCCTGCTTCTCATCACTCCTACCGCTTGCCATGGAAAGTCGTGGATAAAAACGAATTTTTAGGCTAGAAAACCAAAAAAAAAGCTGAGGAATTTGGAAAAAACTGTCGCTGTGACAAGCCTGTAGACTTAATACATCAATTTAGATCTCTTGCAGATTTTCAAATAGTGTAATTTTTTTGTAGATCACCTCTGGAGAGTATATCCAAATGTCGGGTAGGGCGGGTAGGAGGGGTATCGACGACAGGGGTATAGTTATCTTGATGGTAGACGAGAAGGTCCCGCCCGCTGCGGGACGGAACATAGTTAAAGGTTTACCGGATCCGATCAATTCGGCGTTTCATTTAACCTACAATATGGTCCTTAATTTGCTGCGGGTGGAAGAGATAAACCCGGAATACATGTTAGAAAGGTCTTTCTATCAGTTCCAGAATCAAACCGCTATACCCGGACTTTACGAAGGTAAAAGGGAATGATAAAAACTTATCATTGGTGATATTATTTTTCCTTTTAGATTTTCAGCAGAAACTAGAAAAGTTCAACTCGTTTGATGTTAAATGCGAGGATCAAATAGCCCCTTACTACAACATCAGACAAGAACTGGACTCATTGGGAGTCCAGTTTAGAACATATTTAACCAAATCCGAGTACCTTATTCCCTTTCTACAACCCGGTAGATTACTGAAAGTGAGTTCCGCGCTTACTCTTACGTTTATTTATCGTTTCAACGTCGAATTACTTCCAGATCAAAACGCAGGACGCTGAATACGACTGGGGGGCAGTGGTGAACTTCAAAAAAGTCCAAGAGATCCTACCTGGGAGGAAAGGCAGACAGGGACAATCCAAGGCAGTGACAAAAGTTCAGGTGGACCTTTTATTACACGTCATATCCGAGAATGATGCAGAGGACGGTATTCCTAAGCCCTGTCTGGATGACCAGGTAGGTTGCAGAAATTTTATTGCACTTTAAGTGAGGCGATTTGCATATTTTGCCTGTTTTGCATATTCCGTTTGGTGCGGGGTTTATTTAAGAGGATTACCTTAGTGCTAAGGTGGTTCCTGGAAGGATGGATTAAAATTTTGGCAAAGTATTTGTGTTTTACAGCAGGGCAGGGGTATAAATTCTAATATGCCTTCATGTTTCAGAATAATATAAACAATGTACCTAATTTTGGCATTATTTTTGATATAACCCTGACGGATTTGTTTTTCTAGAACTGCTGATAATTATTTGAAATTTTAATGAAGTAGAAGAAAGAAACGACGTTTGGTTCTTTGCTTATTGAAAAAAACTTGATAAGTAATATTTTTGTTACTATTAACAACAGAAATTTCAATTATTCTAGCTACCATTAAAAAATCCTCTCTTAGTTTGTAAACACCCTGTATAATTATTCGGAATAACCATCAAAAACAAATAAAATAGTTTAAATGAACACCATCCATTGCCAGTTGCTGTTCGAAGATATATTGTGCATCATACATTTTATACCGAACATGTATTATTGTTACTGAAAGTCTATTATTTTTACTGTGCGCTTAACATTTTAAATTTAGCGTATAAATTGTGAATATACAGTGAGCCGCAAAAGTATGGAATATATTTATTTAAAAATCAGAATCGGACCCGTCGAATTATATTTTTAGTTGCACATTTTCTGAAGCAATTTTCATTTATACAGGGTGACCCAAAAAAAAGTTATGAAATCAAGGCAAACTTTTTTAAATGGAAACCCCACTTTTTATTTTTATTTAATTCTCCATGGAATTCTGATCATTTTTTATGGAACATAACCTATACCTGTCTTTAACCGTTTTAGAGATAATGGCGTCTGAATATAGAATATGGAAAATTTTCAAAAATTACCCTGAGATTTACCCTGCTGGTTTTAAATTAAAACCACATTTATTTCCATCTTAGATTTTGTGTGGTTCACAGAAAGTTGTTTCAAATCGGAAAAATCCATAAGTAAGTGGTTCGGTGCTAAAAATTTGCAAAATAACCTGGCTCGTAATTTAAATAGTGACATTTAACAAAATCGTATTTTTATACAATAAAATTATGTGTTTTTAATTAAATTATACCTAAATACCTCACTTATATTTTTTACATTCAAGTCATAATGATCAAAATAAATCAGTCGAACCACTTATTTCTTATGGATTTTTCTGATTTGATCCATAAAAAATGATGAGAATTCCATGGAGAATTGAATAAAAATACAAAAAAGTGGGGTTTCCGTTTAAAAAATTGGCCTTGATTTCATAAATTGTTTTTGGGCCACCCTGTATAAATGAAAATTGCTTCAGAAAATGTGCAACTAAAAGGTATATTTTATAATATCAACAGTGTTCACAGTACTTGAATTAAATTTGCATCACTATTATACAAGGTGTCCCATTTTAATGTACCAGGCCGCATAATTTTTTTTAATTCGACAAAAAACAAATTCCAATAAAAGTTATCATGTTTCGAGGGGGCTAAGTTATGATGACCTTGAAGTCAATTATCAAGGTCAACCTTGAGTTTTTAAATGGTAACCCATATTTTTTATTTTTAAAAATCTTGAGCGACATTTAAAAAAATTTTTTTAGAGCTGGTTTTTTGAGAGGGCTCTTCAAACATGATAAACTAACATATTTTCGCAAGAGACACAAAAAAAATCGTTTTTTTTTGGGCCACCCTAATAAAAATATATAAAAGCCTATTTAATAATTTTTTAAAATCAATAAAATTAGAAAAACACACAGACACGTTAAGATTATTACCAATATCAATTAGCTCTACACAATAAAAATATTTGTGTTTTTTAAAGCATTTTGTAATTTTGTTTTATATATTCTTATCTCTTGTAATATTATCTATCGTCCTGAGGAAGGTTTAAAATAAAATGAAACGTTGACCTAGTCAGGAAGTAAAATTATTATTTTTTGTCGCGTTCTCAACTACCACCACCATTTTTCAAATCTCAAACTACTTTTAATCTCTCATTACTTCGAACACTGGGAACTGAAAATCGGTTCGCCTTGCATATATTTTTTTTATTGTAGAAAGGAGAAGTTGAAATCGTCAGCGTCGACTCGTCCCTCATCACGCACGTTTCCTCAGTCAGACTGTACTGTCCGAACGACCTGAGGTCCAAAGACAGTAGAAAGGGCATGTACAAAGCGGTAAAAGAGGTCAAGAAACGTTTCCCGGAGGGTCCGCCGCTGCTAAATCCCGTCGACGACATGAAAATAACGAACCCGGAATTCCTCGATATCGTGAAGAAGATTGAAATTTTGGAAAAGAAGTACGTCATCGAGATTGTTTATACAGTTTTGCGTGATAAACCTTACGTTTTAGGATGTACGAACACCCGATGCACAAAAACGCCCTTTTGGAAACCGAATATACTAAATACGAGGAGAAAGTCGTATGCAAGGAAGAACTGAGGGTGGCGAGACAGAAATTATTGGAAGCGAAATCCGTCCTTCAGCTGGACGAGTTGAGGTGCAGGAAGAGGATACTGAGGAGGCTGGGGTATTGTACGAGCACCGACGTTATACAGCTCAAGGGCAGGGTGGCTTGCGAACTGAGCAGGTAAAATTTTTAATTTCTTTATTTCGACGCTCTATATAAAATTTATTTTGTTTGCAGCGCCGACGAACTGCTGATCACGGAGATGATATTTAATGGGGTGTTTGGCAATTTGACGCCTCCACAAGCGTGCTCCTTACTGAGTTGTTTCGTGTGCGACGAGAAGGGCCAGGAAACGCCAAAGTTGTCCGAAGAGCTGTCGGGGCCCTTGAGGCAGATGCAGGTCAGTTCTGTTTCATTTAATATTAGCGTTTGTTAATAGAAACTGTAGTGAAAATGTCGGTTGTATGGTCCAAGGGTTGTTATTATTTCGGCATGTTTTTTTTTGAGTAGTTATGTTGTGTTGGGAAAAAATTAAATAGTGTTTTTTTATTTTCTTCGAGGATTTCGATTTTACTATTGCTTGCTTCAGAAACAGGTTTTTTTGTACGCGGGAGCGCAATCGGCTCCATCTGTCGTGCTGACTCCCAACTGTGCCTATATTGCAGGTACTTGTTGCACGACTGCCACCCGCAGAGGGCGAAGACAACGTTTTAATTGTCAGTGTTGCGAGAAACAACTACTCCGAGGGCTGTATGCCCCTACCGGCATTGAATTATACTCGCAACACCTAGTGCAACGCAAAACAGCTGGTTCGTTCGTCAGTTGTCTCACCTATGACACACTGATGAGGACTAATAAGTCCGAAACCGGTCTGTGCCTGGTGGGTTAAACTGACGAACCACCCTAGCTGTTGCAAGTATAATTCAATGCCGGTAGGGGTATCTAGCTCTTGGAGTAGTTGTTTCTCGCAACACTGACAATTAAAACAGATTCACGGTTGTGAACTAAGTGAAACATGTAAAGTAACTAGAGTTATGCCTAGTTCAAATAGGTTTTTGATGTACTTTACAATGTGATTAATTCTTGTTTTATTTTTTCTGAATTCTGTAAAAGGAGACAAATATACATTTTTATGGAAACTATGTTCAGGTTCGCAAAATAAATCTTTAATAATTTATTTTGGAAATAAGAAGAAAAGTCCAATTTCTCACAATCCTTTTATTTTTTAAAAAACTATTGAATATCTTTTCCGAGGTTAAATTTTTCATGTCATCAGGTCCTACAAGGCTACAATACAGGATGTCCCGAAATTCATGCAACAAAATTGGGTCACACATTCTTAAGACAAATTTAGCGGACCCGTATTGTTTACTAAGTGGCCCCCTCTTTCGGAGTTACAGCCCCATGAAGTCCGCCCCTAAAAATAATCTTTTTTTTTATATCACAGAACCCTGTTGTACGACTATCACTAAATTTGTTCACAGGGGTTTGATGACATGTAGAATCTGATGGTGATAACGTTTTTGGCGGGGAACCCCCTTAAGACAATTTTTCGTGGGCCCCCTTGTCTTTGGAGCCAAAAAAATTTGGTCGCATATTTGTATTTCTTAAAAATTATTAGTTCGCTAGAAAGCCATTGAATTTAGGAACTTTTTTGTCTCTTGACATTTTTTTCGTAAAACGCAATGTTTTCGAGAAAAATGTCAAAATGTGATCAAATGCATATCGTGATTTGCCATTTTCCTCAAAAACATTGTGTTTTACGAAACAAATCTCAAGAGACAAAAAACTTTCTAAATTTAATGGCTTTCTAGCAAATAAATAATTTTTAAGAAAATCAAATTTGCGTCCAAATTTTTCTGGTTCCAAAGACAAGGGAGCCCACAAAAAAGTGTCTTTAGGGAGTTTCTCGATAAAAAGCGTAGCACTGTCATAAAACCCCTGTGTACCAAATTTAGTGATTCTCGTACAACATGGTTTTGAGATATAAAAAAGACTTCTTAGGGGCGGATTTCAGGGGGCTGTAACTCCGAAAGAGGGGACCACTTGGCAAAAATAAAAAATACGGGTCCCCTAAATTTGTCTTAAGAATCTATGAACAAATTTTGTTGTATGAATTTCGGGACACCCTGTCTAATATAATTTTTTAAATTAGTAAAGTCAAATTATGTTTAATTTTTTAACCTATTAATTATTATTTTTTACAAATTTATAAACTAAGATTTTGAAATTATTTCTTTAGTTTATTACTTTTTTAAAAAATGTGCCTTCGGGAGTGCCTACTGTTCAGTCCGTCTGGTCTGTGGTGCCGAGTTCCTCTGAAATCAGGATTTTTTTCATCTCGCCTAAGTTCTAACCGTGAACTAATTAACCAAAATTGGAACATCTGACTGCAATAGTATCAAAAATTTTGTCAAATTTGGAAATTTTTTTATTTTAAGAAAATATTTTGTGATATTGTTGATTGACATGATTAATTTCATGATTCAATATTTTTAGTTCAATGGATATGTTCCAAAAATGTTTGTTAATTCAGAAAAAAACTAGAAATAACATTATACAGGGTGTTTCATAATGATGTGCAAATATTTTAAGGTGTTTAAAAAGTAATTTTAGGGGGGTACTTCCAATACATTTTTTCGATTTGTTTTATATTCAATATGTACGAATGAAAAGCTCTATGGATTTTACAAATTATTGTGAAAATATATCAATCACAGGCGTCCATAAGGGGCTCTGCTAACCCCTATTTTTAATATAATTTCTACGCCACTGGGAATTTTTCTAAATGAATATATATTTTTTTTACTTTGCCGTTTATTCTACAGCAAAAAGCTCTCTTACTGTTTTTAATAAACAGAAATAACAATTAACAATGGAGAACAGAAGAAACAGTATCACAACAAATGTTTGAAATGTCCTGGAACCTCAATGCATTTCTCACATCGTCTAATTCAGTTTTGAACTGATTTCCTAATCATATTGTGTTGGGTTGTGTTTAAGAGTTTCACAGTTATTTTCTACTCTTCTTCTTAACATTTCAAAAGTACAGATTGGTGAACTATATACCTTTGCTTTAATAAATCCCTAAACGAAATAATCCATGGGATTTAGATCTGGCGATTGTGGCGGCCAAGCAATGGGACCGGTACCAGGTTCTGCATGATTCATTTCCAAAATATGTCACTTTAAAATATCATTAACATTTAACTGATACATTGTGGACCCCTTCTTAAGCATAAATTTAAATAGTGTCGTACATACTTCAACATTACCCTGTTTACCAAATTGTAATGAATAAATAAGAAACCATTTTTCTCAAAAACCAAGCATTTCAGTTGAAAATAGTAAGAATAAACCGCAATGTAAAAAAAATTATTAATTTTGAAAAATTTCCAGTGGTGTAGAAATTATATTAAAAATAGGGCTTATCAGGGCCCCTTAGAGATTATGATTGATCTATTTTCACAATAATCTGTAAAATCCATAGAGCTTTTCATTCGTACATATTAAATATAAAACAAATAGTTTTTATAGTTTAAGAAAAAACAAATAAAAACCAAAAAAATATGTTTTTTTCAAGGGCTTTTATCTCTAAAAGGAAGCCTTTGGAAGAAAAAGTGTATACTTAAAAATTACATGACAATGAGATTTATCGATGGTTAAAGTTCTAATCAGAAAAAGTGAATCACCCTGTATATTTCACGTTTTGATTTAATTCTTTATTTTCTTTTGTGTGAAGATCTGTTACTAATGAACAAACTAAAGTTTCTGGATTTAAACAGAAAAATTTCTATCTCTTACATTGTCCTCATTTTCTTTACTTTCTGTGATGTCTGGACTTTGATGTTATGATTCATACAAATTTTGGGTCCAATGTAATTTTATTGCCAAGTGTAATATTTAGGTAGATGGGACTTTCCCATTAAACCACTACCTGTTTAGGTTATTGACCCTTGGATAATTGTAAATAATACGATTGTAAATACACAAAATTTCTTTCTACCTGGACCTTGATCCTTCTTAAAACTCAGCCCTCAGCTTAATGATGTGGAAAAATAATAAGTTTTATAAGGGGAATATATTTTTATTTTAAAGCAGCAGCAATTCTTTTAAAAAGTGACTGATTTTTAATGAGGTCCAATTTATCAGTAAAATACATTTAGACAAATAATTACATGACTTTTTACTCTATTTTAAAGGTCAAAATGTTCAAAAACAAAGTAAAATGTGAAAACAGAAAGATCTCTTTGTAATAGCTGTTTCTTATGTGACTGATCGTTGTCAAGGGTGATGATAAAATTATATTAAAAATACAAGATATTTCTTTGTTTATTTTATTTTTTTTTTTTTAGTTTGAATTAGCTTAATATCTTTAAAATAGTGTAAAAAAATAAGAGAGCTAATTATAGAACGTGCCCTTTTAAAAAATAACAAAAGTAAAAGTACAAGGACTGGAACTAAAAATAAACGTGACGATTCGCAAAAAATATGTGTACGTTTTTCGCTCGTTGTCAAGGGACAAGCCTAATTAAAAAAATGTTGTTAAAGGACTTGGCGAGAAGGATAGCCAAGGTGAGCACCGAGGCTCGCCTGCCGCTAGAAGAAGACGCCTACGTCGAAAGGTTTAAGCCGTTCTTGATGGACGTAGTATTTAGTTGGTGTAACGGTAGTTCATTCAAAGACCTCTGTGGCATGACGGACATATTCGAGGGTTCGATAGTTCGGTGTATGAGGCGGCTGGAGGAGCTGCTGCGTCAGATGGTGCAGGCCTCGAAAACTATCGGGAATACCGAGTTAGAGGATAAATTTAATAACGCCATCAAAATGATTAAGAGGGACATTGTCTTCTCGTCTAGTCTTTATTTGTAAATTTTTCACATACTAGTTAAGGGATAGATTTCTTGAAATTTATATTTCGATTTTAAATGTAACATATTATTGTTTAAGGAAAGAACCTATTGATCCTCACACCTTTCAGTTCAATAAAGCAAAATTGTTTTGTATCGTTGACGGTTACTTTATTTTTTTAATTTACAGAACGGAAGTAAATCACGATATCAAGGGAATATATTTTATTGTCGTCTTAACTATACAGGGTGTTTTAACCTATAAGTGTATGGTCATTTACGCCGTTTACCATAAAGTGAAACAAAAAAACAAATGAAAGTCGAATATTTTCTGATAAAATGGACTAACGACTAATTTGAAAAAATTTTTTTATTCTAAATTCAAAAGACGTGGCCTACTACGATTTTTTCATGAAGGTTTTACCTGGTCGCCGCTAGTTACATACTTATATTTCTTTAACTACGCTGGGAATCTTCGACTTTCCCTTGTTGTTCTCGGGCTAGGCTCTGTGGAGGCAGCCCCGTTATCAGGATCCCTAGGTGCCCCCTGGTGTTCATTTCGGTTCTTGTTGTCGGTGGTACCTTGAGAGGTTCCGTAGTTGCCTCTAACTGGTCGTATCTAATGCTTCCAAACGTTTATTGTTATTCACAGTCGGCATCTTCAGTCGTGACTGCCGAAAGCTTCACCGTGACTGAGGGAAGGCCAGGGTTCTGATAGCGGGTCCGCTCCCACAGAGCTTAGCCCGAGAACAGCAAGGGCGGGCTAAAGATTCCGAGCTAAGGCTATCGTCCTCTAAAAATACATTTTTTTAAATTGAAAATTGTGCACGAATAAACAAATTGTTTCGACATTGTCGTATAAAATTAATTAAACTGAAAATGTACCAGGAATTGTTACGTTTTCAAAAATTGTTTATAAAATATAAAAATTAATCTTTATAAAAATTGGTATGGGAACATTCTAAAAACTGTATATTTTATTAGATTTTGGCCAAAAGAATTGGCAATACAATTTTTCGTTACAAACACCTTAAAAGATCATGGTAGGCTGAGCATCTGCAATTTTAATAAAGTGCTTAGTTCTAACAATGCACATTTTTAGTTTGTTTATTAAAAAATATTTCAGCCTCATTTTTTTTTCTGCTTACTGATATGTTAATGGCCTGCACGTTTAAAATTAAACACCCTGTATATGTATTTATACTGGTTAGGAAATAAAAATCTTGAGACATTGCCTCGACAAACAAGGAATAACATCAAGATCCAGTTATTAAAAGAACTTAAAATGTTTCTCTTTGAAGTTACAATTTCTGTCGTATAGGTTTTTCAAAAATCATCGGTTTATAGAGCATTGAAAATTATTGGTGATATACTAGGAAATAATTTTGAGTACCCAAAATTCGGAATGATTTGGTTATGGTTTTATGAATCTTAAATTTATTCTAAAAAAAATAATAATAAAATCATTGATATTTACGTTATTGTTGCTTTTTACAAAAAACTTTTGATTTATCGACATTAGGGTGGCGCAAAAATGTTGTTTAAGAGCTTCCTCAAAAAAAAATCAGCTCATAAGAAAATTTTTTTAGAGGCCGCTCAAGATTTAAAAAATATTCCAAAATCATCAAATATTGAATTTTTTATTTTTTAATTTTTTTTTCGCTATTTTATCATTTTTTAGTTTGAAAAAATTCTCGATTCTGAAAATTTCAAAGCTATATTTTAATTTCTAAAGGTCACTCATAATTATCTTAACTTTCAAAATATGTACCTATGTTTTCAAGCGACCTCTAAAAATAAATATCAACGAATTAATAATTTTCTTTATTGGATTTGATGAACAAAAGAATAGAAATAAATCACAACACTTAAATTTTTTAAAACTAAAAAATTATAAATATTTAAAACTTACAGTGCGGTAGTAAATCTTGTCTCGAGAAATTTTTTAAGTGTCGTGATTTATTTATGTTCTTTTGTTCATCAAATTCAATAAAAAAAAATATTAGTTTGTTGACATTTATTTTTAGTGGTCGCTCGAAAACATTTTAGGTACACTACTTTTAAAGTTAAAATAATTATGAGCGAGCTTTAGAAATTAAAATATCGTTTGGAAATTTTCGGAATAGAAATTTTTTTCAACCTAGAAAATGATAAAATAACGAAAAAAAAATTAAAAATAAAATTTTTGACAAATTTGGAAATTTTAAAAAATCTTGAGCGACCTCTAAAAAATTTTTATTCGAGCTGATTTTTTGAGGCGGCTCTGAAAACATGATAAACTAACATATTTTCACAAGAGACACGAAAAAAAATCGTTTTTTTTTTTAGGCAACTGACAGATTATTTAATTAAAAAGGAACTATTTATTCTTTCCATATTTCATCCTAAATGTTTTTTTTTTTGTTATACTTAATAGTCAGAAAGATTTGAAACAAAACTTGTATAATAATTTGCCATTTCAGTCAGTTTCAGTCTTATTACGTTTTAATGGGAATTAAATAATCCATAATCATAACAAAAAATAAATCAAAAGTTTATTTTCAGGATTATTTACATTTAAACGTTTGTCATCAGTGGAAAAAACATTTTATATCCACCTAGCTATGAAAAATTACTATAGAGCACAAATATTTTATCTTATTATACAGGGTGTGAGAATATTTTTGAACAGAAATAGGATTCTTCATATGGACATTTTTCCAAAAATGCTCCTTTTTCGAAATACAGATGAATATACGGTGAATTAATTTTTTTTTTAATATTTTCAATTAAACCTTTTTAATATTTAATATTTTATATTTATTCTGATTCTGATGGATAAAAATTTAATTTTTTTAATTTAAAATTCCAGAGCTAAATTTTTGAAAATATGGAAATGTATTACTTTTTAACATAAAATTTTATATTTTTAAATTATTTTGTCAACAAATATTTATACTAATTTGTTACAATTAATTGTTTTTAAAAAAATAAAGTAGTGTATTAATTTTCAAAATTAAAGTTTAAGCAATTAAATATTTTATAAAACATTTCCAATCTAATATTTTCTTAGCTTAAGAAAATGTTAGTACTTTTTCTGAATTTCTACACAGAGAGAGAAAATCTAGAGAGAGAATTTTTGGGAAAATGTTCATATAAAAATCCTAATTTTCATATGTTAAATCTGGCTCACCCTGTATATTTTTCATTTCTTTTGCTTTAATTCAACTCGTCTCTTTTTAATATCTCACTAAGGGCTGTGATTTTATAATAATAAAAAACGTCGATGTAAGTTAGGTGTTGTATTTAGTTTGTATTAAAATTTTTGATACCTTCACAAAAACATAGGCCTCAATTTAATATTGACTTTTAGGTCGTCTATTTTTATGTTAGGGTAAAACTTTATTGCAGCTTCCCTCCAAAGTTTTGTTAATATTTCTAAAATTCATGTACCTGCTAGTGTACCAAAACCACCCTTCTAGGAATTGTAATACCCTAATTACTCACCCCCCACCTCCCATTGTATACAATTATTGGTAGTTTTGGTCAGAAGCCCAATGTTATCTGTTAAGTTTAGTCGGCATTCAGTGCTTGACCTTCAGCTTTGCAGTTCCGTGCAGCAGTTTGTAATGAATTCACAAAATCTGGCGAGTTCAAAATTTCAGTGTTGCGTTTTTAGTGTTTGAACAAGTCATACTTTATGAATTTAACACATCAGTGTGTATTGGTGAATTTTCGTTTTTCTGGCAGGCTCCTCGTACTTGCCGTGGGATTTTTTCGTATCTACTGTTTTTATTGCATCAGTAGTACGGAATAATCTCACGGTGAGTGCGGGGGAACACGCACGCAGGTTTTAAGCATGTTTCAAGTAAGTATTGCTTATTTTTCTTGTCTCCTTATCTTTGGTGATCTAGCCGTGTGATTGCTCTACCGTCACATGGCTATTTTACCAAGTTACGGTGGTGAGAGTTCATCCCTTGGAAGAAGCGGAGCCGTTGGGGAGTTACGGTGAAGGAACTTTTGGTGTGATGTGTTCGTTTCATCCATATCACAGCCATTAGTTACTTCATTGTGACCTCGGTTAGCCTCGGATATTAAATCCAAAAACTTTTTACAATTTTCAGTTGCATTGGGCCTAATTCTATTTTCTACGGATGCTCGGTCATAGTCACAGAGATATCGACTTGTGACTAGATCGAACATTCGCAAGGAATATGGATTTAACGACGTTTCGAAGAAACAAAATATGTGTTGGTTGGGCGATTGTGGGAAAATGTCACCTCGTCCGTTGTTGATGTAGCTTTAATGGTGTGATAAATTCCATAAAGCTATGTCAGCAATTAACGATGTGTCATCTTTATCAACATGTGATTAGAAGATATCTGAAGGTAAATGTTTTGGCGTGCTATCTCTAACTAAATAACAAGTGTTGATTAGTTTGTAATGCTTATTTGTTGAGTCAACCGTATTTGTTTGAGTAGAGGTTTTTCCAATCATCAAACGACATATATTGTTTTTTTAATGCTACCTATTTTAATCCCGAATATAAATATGTAGTAATAAGCTTTGTCAAAATCGAGTACAGTTTGCTTCAATTTTCATTAAAATATACTTTGATACTTTACAAATGCTTTGTTTTCTAGATACAGGGTGTTAAAGTTTGAGGAACAATTTGGGGTCTTTAAGTTAACAGAAAACCGACGAAATCGATTTTTTCGCATTGCATTAGCATTGCCCTGTCTCCAAATTTAGTTAGCCAACTCTCTCGGTTTCGAAAATTCCATACCTATGTATGTTTTCAGCCTCGAAAATTAAATAATTCCAATTATTTCGAATTTTCACCACCAAGAACGGCGGTGACAACATTTTTAACATTAAGGCGATGTTTCGCATTGTATTAGCACTGCCCTGTCTCCAAAATTATGCTATCTTTGAATTTAACAAGTAGTCCAATCAATCTGTCACGACCTAACGTTAAATTTACAAAAAATACCACCTAGAAACAAAAAATATAGTTACATAGGAAAAAAATTCTATGAAAGATAGTGTATAAACGGCGAATATAACCCAAAAAATTCATAAAAGTCAAAATAGCTGTTTTTCGCTAATAAGAAAAGAATTTGAACTCCAGTCGAAAAAAGTTAAATGATAAAGTTAGCTATTAATAAACCTATCGATTCGTATTGTTAAATATATCGATTGCTATATTACTTTTCGAGATATATCGAAAAAACCGACAAAAATCGACTTTTTTTGTTTTTGCTGTCTTGCAAATTAAGGTTTCGCGCCAAATTTGGTAGACGGGGGTTTTCTAGGTCACTGATCACGAATTCGAGATCAGATCTACAAAATTCGTTTTCAAAAATTTAATCAATTACCTATGTACTTTATTACCTTAGATTAGGCAGATAACCCGTGAATAGATCTTTTACAGAAAAAAGAACAAGATATGGCCCAAAAAATGAAGTTTAAAATATGATTGGGTACTCAGGTTATAAAGTAAACAAAAATATTACAAAATGAATTTCGCAATTCTAACCTCGAATTCGTGATCAGCGATCCCGAAAACTCCCGTATACCAAATTTGACGCGAATGTGTTATTTTTCAAAAATTTGGTCGGCCATCTTGGATCCGCCATCTTTTTGCATTTGCAAAATTGACCTCGGAACCGTGATCAGCGACCTCGAAAACCCTCGGTGTACCAAATTTGGCGCGAATCTATTTTTTGAAAATTCGTGATATCTAACCTTAATTGACCCGTTTTTTTGAGGTTAACCATCTGAATGAACATTTGAATATAGACAATTTTTTTTAAATTTTTTTCTAGCACTTTTTCGTGAATTTTTTCTATATTTGACCGGTTTTTTAAGGTTAGGAAATTGCTATGATGTGATAGTTCAATTAATATGTGACGTAGAATTCGCCATTAAACACCTTGTATATTTCATATTTTGATTGAGATTTTATGTATACATGATATCCCCTAATTATTTTTTTTTTTTACTTAAAATAAACCAACTTTTTATTACCACTTTTTCATTTCCACTCCCAATTTCTCTTCCAGTTTTTCAAATTTGGCTTTATGGTAATAGAGCGATTAAGAATTTCATACTTTGTAGTACCTATAGATAAGTAGGTCACTCTTTGCTAGTAGGTACAAAGTAATGCTTTATGCCAGTAGGCATTGACATTTAAGATATGACACACTATAGGTTATATCTTACCCACACTCAATAAAATGTTAGGCTATGACTAGGTATTTATGGTTAAAAATATGAAAACATTCAATTAATTATTGAAACCCTTTACCTTGAAAACTTTTTTTTTAATACGTGATGTAGAACTCACCATTAAACGCCCTGTATAATTTTCCATATTTTGATTAACATTATATGTATTAGGGTGGCCCAAAAAAAAATGAATATATATTTTTTGTGTTTCTTGTGAAAATATGTTAGTGTATCATGTTTTAAGAGCCCTCTCAAAAAATCAGCTCAAAAAATTTTTTTAGAAGTCGCTCGAGATTTTTAAATAATTCCAAAATCATCAAAAATTGATTTTTTTTTAAAATGAAAATGATTAAAATGATAAAATAACGAGAAAAAAAATTAGAAAAATCAATCTGACGATTTTGGAAATTTTTAAAAATCTTGGGCGACCTCTAAAAAATTCTTAAAATATGATAAACTAACATATTTTCATAAGACACAAAAAAAAATATTCGTTTTTTTTGGGGCCACCCTAAAATGTATGCATGACTTCCCTAATTGTTTTTTTTGTATCTCGAAATAAAATATCTTTTCAATATCACCTTGTCATTTCATTTTGAACACCCTGTACCTTGAAAAAGAAAGTGTCTGGAAACACAAGTTTTTTATTTAATTTTTAGTGCTCATTGCACATTAAAATTTACAAGTTTTCAAATAATTAAAAATTATAATTACAGGTAGAAATCGCCTTATGCCAACTATCAAACTGTTTCGTAATTGATATAAAAAAAATGAAATAAAATACAAGATTATTATTCATTTATTGTTTTATTTTTTAAAAATATTTCACTTGACACATTACATACTTTGATTCCTGTACAGACTAGTACAATAAAAAAAATATTTGCTACGTATTAACATTTATAAAACTGTAGTTATCATTTCAAACTTACCGTCAAAAATATAACAAGACCCGGTTAGGTAGACTCTTATGAAAAAATAAATATTAACAACAAAAAAAATTGTAATAAAGTAATACTAATACGGTAAACACTTTTTCGCACGCACGCATACATTATTTAATTGTCAGAGTATCTTTTTCACTAAAACCGCACTATTTTCACTGTCAGTGATTAAAGTTTATGGGCGGTTTATGGTCGCCGCACCTGGGGAAGTTGTGAGGTACTGGTGGCAGATCCGACTGCGTTCCTACGTGTATAATTAAGTTCATTCCAATAGCTATGTGGAAGAGGAAGTGACAATGGAACAACCAAAATCCTGAAAAAAAAATTGAGTTATTTTTACAAGGTAGTACAGTAATCCACCGATAAAATTCTGTAGATGACATAGGTCTGACATACTTGGTTTTTGAGGTACAATGTGATAGCATTTTATTATTTTTCTAGTTGTTCTTTTACACATTTTTTAGGAACATTTTGATTAGTATCCAAACAGCTAAAGATACAAAAAGAATACGGAAAGAAAACGGTAGAAGTTAAAACAGAACTCTTGTCTCAGAAGACAAATTGTAACAAAAAAATTTGGAGGGATTGGAAGAGTCAAAGTTTCACAATAAGGATTGCCCTGTACATTCTTTTAAATGGTAATTTGTGCATTTTGTTGATTTTCAAAAGCGTGCTGAATGTACAAAATTTGAATGGCCTATGATAGAAAATATGTAAAATAAATAGAATAAAAAAAAATAATGAAACATCCCGAATCTCATAAATGAAGTGGATCTGCGTTTATACAGGATGGGCCGTTAGTGTGAGAAAGTAAAATAACTCCCTTGTTATTCATAAGCAAAAAAGTTTATATAAAAGTTGTACAGAATCAAAAAACCTAAAGGACAAAATTAATTTGAAACACACAGGGCGACGAGTAGAAACAGGACACGCCAAATATTACATTTTTTAAATGGAACACCCTGTATATTTTCAAACATGGATTAGAAAATTCTATATATGGCAATATAAAAAGTTTATCATTTTAGTGCGGGGTTGCCAAGTTATGTAGAAAACTCTTTGAATTTTGGAAAAAACATGACCTTGAAGAAGTTGTATTAACTTTCAACTACTAACACTTGAGGCAAAAATATTTGACAGAGCTATAGGCAAATATTAGGCAAAGACCTATATTAGCTAATATCGATATTTTATACAGGGCATTTTTGTAATACGATCATTTTAAGCAAATTCGAACTTCATTTTCTAACATTTTTCAAATGGAACCGGTCGCACGAAATGGCTTTTGGAACAAACTGTCGCATTGTATCAACTTGTCAGTTCATAATTTATCATTCTATTTTGAGTTAATTTTATTAGTTAAAGATTTATTTGTGGTATTCTATAAAATAATAAAAATTAAGATTTTTTCAGAAATGTTGCTATATCTTAAAAACTAACAATTTTATATATAGAACATGCTTAATAAAAGTTGAAGTGGACCGATATGTGAATAAAATAGAATAAAATACAGGTTGACCCATTTGAAAAATTTTAGAAAATCGAGTTTAACGTCCTAAAAATATTATAAAAAATGCTCTGTATAAAATATCGATATTAGCTAATATAGGAGTGTTTACCTAACATTTGCCTATAATTATATCAAATATTTTTGCTCCAAGTGTTAGTAGTTGAAAGTTAATACAACTTCTTCGAGGTCTTGTTTTTTCCAAAATTCGAAGAGTTTTCTACATAACTTGGCAACCTTGCACTAAAATGATAAACTATTTATATACGGGGTGTTCCATTTAAAAGATGTACTATTTGGCGTGTCCCGTTTTTTCTCATCACCCTGTATGTATCAAATTAATTTTATAGTTTAGATTTCTTGATTCTGTATAACTTTTATATAAACTTTTTTTTGTATTCTAACTAACAAGGGAGTTATTTTACTTTCTCACACTAATGGCCAATCCTGTATGAACGTTTTTTTAGTTTTTTTTTTTTCATAAAGTAAATTGTAGAATGTTGTCTAGAATATTGCAACACCCTGTATATCTAAGTTATTAAATTTTAACAACTGCATCTCCTATTTCTTAAAAGCGAAAACAGTAATTTTTTAAATGAAGTTTAAATATAAAGAAATATTTAAAAAACAGTTAAAAACTGTATTTTTTGATTTTCTGTGACCAACTTTATTAAAATCCTCTATCAAATTCGCAGTATCATCAGTGTAAAAATTGTTTCGCCTGGTGACAATCTTAGGTCTTCTGTTATAGTACCGGTAAAATATCAGGTCACTCGACATTGAGTAATAGCGACCATTCATAGGTGTAGTATTGTTACATCTCAGTTGTCCCACCCCACATTTGACATACCGATGAGAACTAAGAAGTTTGAAACCGATATTTCTGGTAGGTTTGGCTGAAGAATTATTACTAAATATTGCAGATATAATTCCAATTCCACAGAATGGTCGTTTCCCGCACTATCAGTTTACAACTTTATTGAACATTTACAATTAGTTCTTATCAAACTGAATTCATGTCAGATATAATGTTTTACCTGGATTTTCGGCTCTAAACCTAAAGATAACGTATCCATTATTTGGCACAGCGATCGTGTCTTTTCCTGGTGGCAGATTGAACTGCCTGTGGAGAAGACCTCTTCGATCCAAATCGAGAGCGTGTTTCAAGTTAATTTTCTTTATGTTCTTATCTGGAGAACGTCCAATGCCAATCACGTTGAACGTGTACCCGTGGAGATGGAACGGATGACTGAGGTTGGGTGATTGTACTGAAATAAAGAAAAATTGTAAAGTGTTTCTGGATCGTTAATTTCTGTGATACTATTGCAATAATAAAGTGATGATTAGTCCAGAGAGTTTTTTTTTCATATGAGATTAGTTACCTTCGTCTACTAAAACTACTTCTACGATTGCATTTAAAGGTATGTCTACCATGTGTGTGCACTGACAATCTTGTCCACAATTAGCTGGTCGGTTGTCTCCATTACAGAACATATCCTGGTTCAACTCGTGCAGTTGTGACAATGGAGGAGCTGGGGGGAATTTGAAGGATATTTCGTCTACTAAACTTAGGACGTGATCTCCGCCAGTTGCAGCTAGAAGCAAAACAATTAGAAATCGTTAAATTACCTTTTATCCACAGCAATTTCGAAAAAACGTTCATTTAATAATTCAATTGTACGGTATTTCAATGTGTATGGTTGCTAGGCAACAAATGTTATATACACTGATGTGGTCGGTCTGTTGTTGTAGATCTCAAAAGTTAAGACGCGTTCAGAGATAAAAAATTGTTAATATCAAGAAAATATAAGTATAAGTACTTTGACTAGTTATGAATGCATAATAAAGATTTGTTTTGTTCAGAGTTTTTGAAAACTTATCCACAACGAACCGCACAATTTCTTTTTATATCTTATCGACGAAAATATTGCTTACCTAAGAATGGGTTGTATGTGTCGATACGGAACAAATCCTCCGGCTTGTAGAAGTGAAATCGGAAAGGCAAGAATATTTTTATATCGGGTCTTTCTTGCAATATCCCTTTATCTATCTTTTTGGAATTTCTTAACTGACTTACACAAATCGCCTCCCTCCTCGGCTTGTGGCAAATGGCATCCAGGGGGTTCAAGACCTGTTAATGTTCTGTGTTACATTTTTATTGTGAAGGAGTGAATACCTACCAAGTATCTGGGGTCCCTTTTATTTGTGAATTATGTACAACATGGATACGTCTGTACAAATATGTACATTAAGAAAATGATTGTACAGCAACATCGGCACTTTGATAGCGGCTGAACAAAAAATACATTGCTTTCAGTTTTTCAGTACTAAAAAGATGCTGCTGTGCAATTTTATGTTAACGATGTTATTTGTGAGTGTAAAAAATAAAATACATATACGTCAACGAGTATATCAATGTAATGGTTTTAAATTGTTGACTGTTTAATAGGGCTCTACAGCAAATAGTTAACCAGCAATACATTTTTATAGATTTTATTACACAGTCTAAATATGAATTAATGCACAAATAACAGACTTTCCTCCATCCTAACCCAGATTTTCTATAAAATGGCTTTAGTTCGAAACTCAAATTACTTTTTGTTGTAAAGAAATTAGTAATTTACCACTTTTGAACATCGTAAATTACAAATTTTTTTACACTGAAAAATAATTTGAGTATCAAACTAAGTCCATTTTATAGAAAATCTGCGTTAAGATGGGGGAAAGTCTTGTTATTTGTGCATTAACTCATATTTAGACAAATTGTGTAATAAAATCTATAAAAATGCATTGCTGGTTGCCTATTTGCTATAGAGCTCTCCTAACGAATGTGGTAAAATATGTATTTAATTTTTTAATGTACAGAACATGTCGGTCTAACAAAATCCTTGTTACTTTATATTTACAGAACGTATTTTCAAAAAATGCATTTAAATAGCTACATACTTACCATCTCTTTATTTGTACAATATTTACAAAACTGCACATAAGCCAATGTATATACAAATAGTTTTTATATAATTTTTTAAATATTTTTGCAGATATTTAAATTTTTTTAAATATACAGGGTGTATCTTTGAGTGGGGGCAAGTTTTTTTAGGGTTGATAGTACCTATGTATTTCTCAGAACATTAATTTCATAAAGTTCATCAAGTAGTCAAGTTATAGTTTGTTTTTCAAACTGCACTTAAACTGTTATTTATGCTGCTACTGGGCAGATTCCAAACTATATGAGCGCACTTATCAGTGTTGCCTGTTGTTACTTTTTAAAGCAATTGCATGAAATATATTGTTTTTGTACGTGTTTGTTATAGGTTGGTTTATTCATAGTTTTTTTACGTTAATGTGGATGAGGAACCAAACATTAAAAAAAATTCAAGAAGACTTATAAAATTAATGTTTTTATGATTTATTGAATATTAATTTGTTTTAAAATAACTATTTTTGCTGATTTATGAAGCGACATAATAAGATATAAGAATACTAATCTGATAGATACGAATTATTGTTTAAAATCATATAATTTTTAGTAAAAAGTATTTGTTGCTATGTTTTGAAAGCACTGTGTTTAGTTTATGAATCTCAGTGACAATGACTTCTGCCATTGGCATATTTTATTGAGATAAACTACATATTATCAACGAAAATTACCAAAAAAAGGTTAAAAGCAATCAGTTTCCACGGTTGAATTTGAGACAAAAAAACTATAACTCCAATCGAAAGTTACACCCTGTGTTCTTCTTAGGGTGACCAACATTACAGAAGAATGTTAGTTTTGGTTGCTTTTTAGTGCTAAAAATCTCTAAAAAATCAAATATCTAGTGTTTTTTATTAAGAAATTCTCTAAATATGAGGAGATATGAAAATTATTTACAATGGACGATGAATTACTTACGTATTTACAAAGAGTTAATTTATACGCCTATTTCTAGAAAAAATCCAACCCCATCTATGTACATAATAAACATTTTTATTTTTTTATACAATATACAAGTATTCTTTACAAATAACAATAATAACTTGCTGGAAATACGAAAGGTATAAAAGACTGTCGAAGACTAGTACAAAATTAAATAACTAGCCGGTAAATACAACTGGTAACACATTTTAGATGTCTGAAATGTAAAATCTGTACAAAGTACTTGTTTCATAGGAATCCATTTAAAAGTTAAGTTAAATATCTAAGTCTAAATAGAATAATACAAATTTTACAAAGTGTTAGAATAGATCTCTATAAAAATACTGATAGTTAATTTAATACGCATAAAAAAATTGCAAGGTCACTTAATTCTGAGCACTCCTTAATACTGATTTATGCAAAACACGAGACTTTTAAAACCATACCTAAAAGTAATGACTATATACTCCTATCCAAATTATTTTGCAATTTCTTTACACCGGATTAGGTACATATGTACAAAAATGCAGCCTTGCTATGGCTCCGGAGCACCAATTAGGGTAACTTGGGTATTAAATACAAGAAACGTTTTATTTAATGAAGGAGAGGTAGGAGCTTATACTTACCTTAAATAATTATGGCGGATAAAGACCATTATATGTAGATAAATAATATAAATTACAAAAATAGATAATATAAACAAGCATTTCCAAAGTTGGTTTTCGAAATGGCAAGATCGAAAAATAAATTTTCCGCAGTATTCTACACAAATAATTTGGTAAAGGTAACTTAGTCATGGTGTTCCTCAAGGAGTTTGACAGTCGGTTCGACTTGATGGATTATTAAAAATAGTTCACTTTTCACGTTCTAATAAAACATCTAAACAAGTCTAAGTAAATTATTTACAACAACAAAACATTAATGAAACGTTTAAATCGAAACTTACATATTTAAGGCACGGTCTTTAATAATCCATCTGACGCTGGGTGGGAAAACACTAGGTAAACCCACTGCCAAATTTCTTGGGGAAACCTAAAACAAAAAACAAGTTATTATAGTCTACTTCACTGTTTAGGATAGTCATTTTGAATATCTAACGAAATTTGGGGCTTGTGGTCCCCACAAGTTGGGAAGTTTGGCGGAACGGGCGGTAGATCGTTCAGACTGCCGACCTGGAAGATCAGATTCATACCGATAACTATGTGGAACAAAAAGTGACAGTGGAACAACCAGAAACCGGGATTATCGGCTCTGAATCTGAGTACGACGTATCCGTTGTTGGGCACTGCTATGGTGTCCTTTCCTGGCGGCAGATTGAACTGACGGTGCAGCAGACCTTGTCTATCCAGGTCAAGGGCATGCTTCAGGTTAATTTTCTTGACGTTTTGGTCAGGCGACCTGCCGATACCTATTACGTTGAAAGCGTAGCCGTGGAGATGGAAGGGGTGACTCAGGTTGGGTTGTTGCACTACAAAAAAGAGATAACGGTTAATAATAGTGAATCGACAAGAAATTTGCATTAATAACAACTGTCACTCATGATGAAGCTGTGTGGCGTAGCACCAGTTTAGTTATTTCCTATCACTGCAATTATATGTATATAAGTAGGCTTGAACTATCTGTGGTAGAAACCTCATCACAAATGAAATTGCTGTGTCGTTGGCATACCTTCATCTACTAATACAACTTCGACCACTGCATTCAAAGGAATATCGATTTTGTGGGTGCACATGCAGTTTTGTCCACAGTCTGGGGGAATATTATCACCATTACAGAACTGCTCTGGATTTATGTCATCGTACTGAGAAAGCAAAGGTGCTGGTGCTGATAGATAGGAAATTTCGTCGATCAAACTGATCACGTGGTCCCCATTTGGTGCAACTGAAAATATAAATGTTTACTTATATAAAATGAAATTCAACAAAGATCCTGCTAATTTTATTATTAAATATTTGCTTTATTCTTTACTGTTTTGAATATATATATTTTTTTTAAGTTGAACAGGGATATTTATTTTTAATGGGAGTTTGATCAAAGAAGCCAATTGTTAAAAATGTACCTTAGAAAAGTCGTCTAGAAATGTCAGAAAAAATGTTTTTTCAATAATCCTACACTCTGATTGTATAGTCTGAAAGTTTTGCTGGCTGTTTTTTGTTTCAACTGTTGAATTGGCTGCTTCTTTACATCTAAAAGTCTTTTGTGTTTCGATATTAATCTAGTGTGAGTAAATTTGTAATAATTAACTTATGGCAATGATGGTTTGTGTTTATTTTTAAATACGCATAACTTTAGTACTTGGTGAATTTGCTGTTGGTTTATGGTGAATGTAGACAAAATGCTACGGCCGCAGAAGGAATTGTTGACAACTTTGCCATGCAATATGTTTAATATTCGTTGAAAAGCATATGATGCTGATCAATTAACAACACCAAGTGCCTGATTCTTGAGTATAATAATGAAAAAATACCTCATTCTGCCAACTGACCCAGGTAACCTTAATAATCCGGGCGAATTAGACCAAACACATGCCTGTTTAAAAAATCGGGCCTACCTCGAATTTTATGGGCTTAAAATTAAGTAAAAAATACGCAGAATAAAAGGCTAAATTTGTGGATTTGTAGAGGTCAAGCGTTGCAGAGGTTTATAACAAAAGAAAAAAATAATAATTGCTCTTTTTTCAGTTTTTCGCTTATATCTCCGAAAATAAGTCTCTAATCTACATGAGGTATACTTATCGATTTTGTTCCTGAGGAAATTTGCTACCAGGATAGGCTTTTACGAAAGCTCGCAAAATTTTTTTTACAATGGAAAATTAGCGGTGAAGAACAAAATGTGTAAAATTTTCAGCATTAAATAAAAAGAACGAATTTGGCTGAAATTGGATGAAACTACAGGAAAAGATAACTGTTGGGGTGCTCAACAAATACCCGCTATCCGGACCCCGGAATTTCAAAATGGCGGCCTATTACAAATTTATACAGTCGAAAACTTCAGCGCGTATACCTTCTGCCCAAGTCAAGATATCGAAATTCGGTACGAAAGGATCGAAAGGTAATTACATTTTCTCGCGTTTGCGTAAATTTCAGATGTTTAGGTTGCAAAATAAAAAAGTTATTAACAAAAAACCAAAAAATTGGTAATTAGGGTCCTTATCTCGGCGGTTTTTTAATATACAAATTTCAAACTAATTACATTAAACAGTGTTTAAAAAAACATGAATTAAAAAAAAAAGCGAAAACGGTATTCTGGCTGTTCTATTTAATATTTTGTCATAAACTTGGGCTCTTTGTAAAGTACAAGACTTCCTTTATACGCCGATTTTCTTTTTGAATGGATTCCACCAAGAAATGACCAAGTAAACGTGCGTTAAAGACAGTAACTGTTACTGTTACTGCGTAAATTGTGTCTAGAATATTATTAAATGTTATAATATCAACATTACATATATATAAGTACTGCATTTTATAGTATTTTAAAAAACTGTTATATTCAATTTTACAATATTTAATAAACTGTATTGCTAGAGAAAGTTTAATGTCTAAATATATTTTAGACTTCATGAATTTTTCGAATTTACGTGATTTGAATGTGGCAAAATAACAAAATTCGACCTCTACAAATACACAAATTTAGGCTTTTATTCTGTGTATTTTTTACTTAATTTTAAGCTCATAAAATTCGAGGTGGCCCGATTTTTGAAAAAAAAAACCTAATTCGACCGGACTATAAAGCTTTTGCGTCATGTAGGATATGACCTATCATTCCTTATCATCTCCAGTAATTCACAACATAATACTTTTTTGTTAAGTAAGATCAGTATTTATCTGTTTTTGCTGCTATGGTTTAATATAAGGCTTTTTTTCGTGACTGAATATTGGTGAATATCTGACTTAAAGTTACTATTTTTATCTCTTTTGATCTTAGTTGCCGTATGAGTTTAAATCTCTTCATTCACTCATACAACACATACTAGAACATACGACTTCACTCGCGAAAAAAAGCCTATAACAAGATAGTGTGCGTATTAGGGTGACCCAAAAAAAAACAATTTTTTTTTTCGTGTATTGTGAAAATATGTAACAAAAGAATAGAAATAAATCACGAGACACTTAAATTTTAAAAAATTAAAAAATTATAAATATTTGATACTCGCAGTGTGGTAGTAAATTTTGCCTTGAGAAATTTTTTAAGTCTCGCGATTTATTTCTATTCTTTTGTTCATCAAATTCAATAAAAAGATTATTAGTTTGTTGATATTTATTTTTAGAGGTCGCCCGAAAACATTTTAGGTAGGTACACTACTTTGAAAGTTAAAATAATTATGAGTGACCTTTAGAAATTAAAATATCGATTTGAAATTATCAGAATAGAGATTTTTACAATCTAGAAAATGATAAAATAACGAAAAAAAAAAATTTAAAAATCAGTTTTTGACGAATTTGGAAATTTAAAAAAATCTTGAGCGACCTCTAAAAAAATTTTTTTTGAGCTGATTTTTTGAGGGGGCTCTTAAAACATTGTGGGTATACATGTTGCAAGTAACCCATTTTTAAGCACTACGTCAAGAGCGCCGCCGGACGCATCAACGTTCCAGGAAGGGTCTACGGCGGGCTGGCGCCGGCGACCAGATGCGTACTCATATACCTACGACCGACTCCACACACAGGGACTCTCTACCAAACATTCGAACCGACAACACGTCTTTTTCCACAAGCTTAGTTTTCAATAAAAATAGTTTATTTGTACCTTTGAGAAAGCGTTTTATTTCTGCTGTACAGCGAAAGCAAACCTCAACATGATAAACTAACATATTTTCACAAGAGACACGAAAAAAAAAATATTGGGCCACCCTAGTGGGCATGCTCAATAACTTACCCAAGTGTCTGTCGTACGTATGCGGGCTGAAAAGGTCCTCAGGAGTGTAAACGTGGAATCGGAATGGCAAGAAAATCTTGACGTCCGGCCTTTCCGCTAGAAGTCCACGATCTATATCTCTTGCGTTCTTCAGTTGGTTTATGCATATAGCGTCGTTCCTTTGGTTATTACATATAGCGTCCAAAGGATTTAGCACCTATTGAGGATTTTTAACATTTAACTATGTACACTGTACAGAATTAACATATGGCACTGCCCTAGATGTATGAAATTTTCGATTGCTTTACATGTTTTTTTTTTTTTTTTTTTTGTACAAAACCACGTATTTACGGCAACGGATGATAAAAATTCCCACAGACCAATTCTTTGTACAATTGGCGGCTAATTACTTTCCCTCACCATGTTCATTTTACTTTTCACAGGAAAATGAAGTGATGGAAGCTATAAGCACTATTCTAAATGTAATGGCTAATGTACACAGCACTCGATCATTTAAAAAAAGTAAAAAAGTAACGCTTTTTATATTTACATGTTTTTGATAAGAAATTTGAGCTGAACTGAATCACAGAGCAGGTATTGTACAGTGTAGGAAAGTACCGATGGTCTATCTATCAGAAGTTACGTGAGAACGATAAAGTAAGCCATAGAAATCCATGTGATAGACAAGGATGGCTATAATGAAGGCGTCTAATAGTCAACGCCCATTTCGCCCTTCCACAAATAAGAAGTGGATCTTATCGCTCTCACGTAACTTCAGATAGACCATCGGTACTTTCCTACCCTGTATATGCTCGCTGACTGAATGTCGCAGTAGGTCTGTTTATGAGTCTTGCTAGAAGCAGATGTGGCTAGTAAAAGCACAAGTCAGGTTCATTTATGTGTGTCTTTGTTTGTACATCGCAATTTGTTATAGATCATAAAAATCATCGATTTGATTGAGGTTCAGAAATCGACCAATTCTGCTTTTATTATTTCCAGATTGTGTCAATTGTCAACACATCCTGATAAAATCACTTGATCTGAATCGAGTAATACTAATAAACAGACCCAATTTTTAAATCAATGTCAACTTGTAACGACCAATATGTTAGAAAATTGAAAAGTAGTTGGTTTCAGGTTGAGCAAAAATGTTTGTTGCTTAATAACAGAGGTCTTAAAATCAACCATTTTGGGAAAAATAATATACAACTTTATCAATTCGTTTACAAAATGCATTTTATGTTTTGGTTAAATTATATTCAAGTAATTAGAGCTTAAAAATATGTTCCTATGATAATATAATTGATAGTCATAAGCTCTATTATCACATCACAAAAAAACAAGCTATTTTAAGAAAAAACTTTTATGATTCAAGATATTTTGATCTGCATTAACTTTGTTTTAGATACACATTGTTAAAAATTTATGATAAAATATGAATTATTTTAAAATTCAAATAACAATTATTATTGAGTTGTGGGTACTTACCTACATACTTCATTTTTTAAAAATTATTAACCTAACCTTATAAAAGTATCATTTAAATCATTATTAATATTATTATTATTATTTATTCTACCGTTATTCATAAAATTGTGAATATTTTTCAGTGGCACTAAACAATAAAACATTTGTAGATATTTGCAAAAATGTTATTCACTACAACGAATTATTATCGATCGATGCTGCAAACTTTTTTGCTCAATATGAGATAAACTAGCAGCTCTTGTAAATTATTTTCTAATATCTAGTATATCATGTGTTATTATCTACAATTCAATAGTTTTTGTCAAGTTCTTAAAATATTACTCATTGTTATACATACAGGGTGATTCGTTTAAGAATGTTCATCATGGCAATCTTGTAAACGGTATAAATGATGAGTAAAATTACAAGAATAAATATAAATATAATAAAACGACAAATATTTTTTTATGATAATTAGTTTTCTTTTGAATTGTGTTTCATAAATTATCAGACTTTAATCATTTTCTTTTTTGAATAACGTTGAACTATAAATATATATTAAAAAGATTGGTCATAACCAACTGTAAAACCTATATCTTTAAGTGAATCACCCTGTATATGTAGGTGAATTATTAAGAAATTGTTTAATTATAAAATTGGTTGTATATAGTTTAACTCTTAGGAAATAGTTTTATACTACATAATGACGATAATTTGACAACCTGTAAATGCATTTTCCTATTTTTAAACTTTCCCCTTTAATATATACAAAAAGGGTTTATATACATTCATCGAAAATTCAATTCTATACGTATACCTCAACGACAAAATGGAATTCTAAAGATGTCCCACTATATTACATACACATTCACTCGTCCAAACACGATGCTCACGCTTAGTTAAATTGCAGCAATTTAGCAAAATAATAACAGCAGTAACTTACACTTAGTAAGTAATAAAATTATTGCAGATTAACTAATACCTTTCTCGCTGTATGTACATCCAATATACACATCTTTACTTACCACACCCTGGGGTATTCCATAATCGTAAGTAGGTGGATTGGATGACGGTTGATAAGGCCCCCTGGCGTACCTCAAGATAGCCAATTGCTGTACCCTCCTGATACCGCATTCGCCCAATCCTCTAAGTTGCATCCAGTAGGCTGTGGGGGCTTGGTCGGCGTTTATCACGAAATCGTATCTTTCGCCTACAAAAATATATTCAGGACATTACACAGTACATCCGAATATCATAACTATATAATATAATTCATAAATTTTATTAATCGAAATCTATACTTTTGTACAAATATTCTTCAAAGGATCGTCGATTGTCAGTTCGCATTTCTGGAAAGGAAACTGCATTCAATTTGCCCAATTCCAATAAATAATACCGAATCGATTTCTTAATTCAAACGTAAAATTGTTTTTGCGTAACTCCGAAATTAATTTATCTGGAAACCCAAACGGGTCGGTTTCGAAGACTATAAATTACTTAATATTTTAATTACGGCACAATTTAAATGCCATAAAGTTGTTGGACTTCCGTTTCAATCGTATAAATTAGATAACGCAGATATCCATTTATCTAATGAATCACTCTGCCGGGAATGTTACGAACCAGTCCGTGCGTGATCAGATTTTTAATTTGCGTTTTATAAAATACATTTCTCTGTACTTGGTCGGAGCAGCGTAATAAAAATAAAACTTATTTCCTTTTTTTTTAATTCATTTATTTGTAACAAAAACAAACCTGGCAGCTTTCAGCCTTACCTATGTACCTTGTAATTATTTTTCGTCAATAACTACGTTAGCTAACAATGTTTCATCGTTGTTCGCTAAAGAAATTCAGATTACTTCATGTCCATACAACGCGAACAATAGAGACTTAAGGCAGTGCCAAAGACGTAAGCGTAAACGTAGAAAATGACAGACACGCGTGCGCAGTTGCGGTATTTCTTATGTTTTTCTAGTAAGTATCAGTTTCTTTAGTGAATAGAAATGAACAGTAACTTAGTCTTTAAGGAAACTATTTTATTTACCTAATATTTGTTTACTATTCATGTAGCTACCAATTCGGAACGATTTAATTGTTCAGTTTCATTTTTAAAAGAGAAAATATTACCGAATTTCACAACAAACATGTAGAAAGTAAAATGTGAAAATAAGTGCTCTTTAAGTTATTTATTATGTATGTTTAGAATTCTTGCCAGCTGTTTTGACAACTGTGATTCTTCAATATTTATTAACAAATATTTATATGTTATGTCAGATTATTGCTTGGTGTTGAAAATGAAATTGGCACTGAAAAGTGTAGTGATACTATAACCTTTAACTCATACAAACAACTTTGTATGATTCATCTCTTATCTCAATCTAGATTCTTCTATTTCCTTTGTTCCGAATTTATAGTTGTTAAAAAAGGAATAACTGGAAAACCATATTAAAATTAACTTCTCTGTCATTGAGAGAGATGACAATCGATCGACAACATTACCGACCTCCAATATTGAGAGAAAGGAACATGAAGCAATCTAATTTTTTTTCTGAAGTCTATTTTTTCTGTAGGTAATTATCTGGGAAAATTGAATACATAAATTCCTGTTAAATCTAATTGTTCGGAACTGTACACATTTTTTCATAGTATTTCTATCAATTGTCATTTGTGAGTCGAGTTAAACGATTTTTTTCAACGAACCAATGTATATTTTCCACAGGTAAATTGTTTTGTTGCTATACTGAAATTTGGTTAATTATTTGATCTAAATAATGGCGAGTCTCTAGAGCTATAGCCTAAATAAAAAACGGTGGTTTTCAACAAATTTTACAAGAGCTATCAGCTTCGTGGAAATTAGTCCAAGCATTATAGAGAAATGCTTACAGAAATTATTACCTGGACAAAAAAAATATGACCGTATAGAAAATTAAATTTTAAATTGAGTTTCTTGTTCTTTAAACTCGATCCAATATGGCGAACATGGTTAAAAAAAATCGCAAAGTTGAAAAAAACGGTTTTTCTAAAATAACTAAAAAAATATAGCACGGATTGAAAAATTTTAAATGAGAAAGTTGTAGGTTTTAAAAAGATCTATCGACTGATTTTTTGAAAGTATCGATTGCTTTGTTACTTTTCGAGATATATCGAAAAAACCGTTAAAAATCTTCTCTTTTCTCTTCTTCTATAACTCGTTTACATTTACGTGCCCATATTTGCTATTTACTGCAAGCATAGCCCGCGGCAAGCCAAAAAAGTACATTTTTGAAAAATTTAAAAATATTAATTATTTTTCGAGATATATCGATTTTTTGAAAAAAAGGCGCTCTCGAAAATTGGCTAGATCTTCTCAGCGGATAGCCCTACAGTAACGATTTTCGGTTTATTTTCTTCGTAAAGAGTTATATTATCATGCTGTTAAAAAATGTTGACGATTTTATTAATTTTAAGGATCAAAAAATGACTGAAAAAGTTGCACTTTTTTTGGGTATGTTTTTTTCAAATAACTATTTCAATTTTTATTATTTTTTTGTACTTAATCTGGGGTAGCTAAACACGAATATTATAGCATTTTCGCCTTAGAAGCAAAATAGACCCGTAAATGTTTAGTTTTCTTTCTTTAAAAGTCATTTTCATAAAATAAAAATTGAAATAGTAATTTGAAAAAAACATACCCAAAAAAGTGCAACTTATTCAAAGTCATTTTTTGATCCTTAAAATTAATAAAATCGTCAACATTTTTTAACAGCATGATAATATAACTCTTTACGAAGAAAATAAACCGAAAATCGTTACTGTAGGGCTATCCGCTGAGAAGATCTAGCCAATTTTCGAGAGCGCCTTTTTTTCAAAAAATCGATATATCTCGAAAAATAATTAATATTTTTAAATTTTTCAAAAATGTACTTTTTTGGCTTGCCGCGGGCTATGCTTGCAGTAAATAGCAAATATGGGCACGTAAATGTAAACGAGTTATAGAAGAAGAGAAAAGAGAAGATTTTTAACGGTTTTTTCGATATATCTCGAAAAGTAACAAAGCAATCGATACTTTCAAAAAATCAGTCGATAGATCTTTTTAAAACCTACAACTTTCTCATTTAAAATTTTTCAATCCGTGCTATATTTTTTTAGTTATTTTAGAAAAACCGTTTTTTTCAACTTTGCGATTTTTTTTAACCATGTTCGCCATATTGGATCGAGTTTAAAGAACAAGAAACTCAATTTAAAATTTAATTTTCTATACGGTCATATTTTTTGTGTCCAGGTAATAATTTCTGCAAATTTAACATTAATCCGTGACAGAATGCTTGGACTAAATAGATATACTAGTTCTTCTTCAATATTTCTTACCGAATTTTCTTTGGATTTTTTTCAATCATAAAAGTTCCTCTGCAGTTGCAAGACCTCTTAAAGACTTTAATAATATGAGTTTATTACAAAATATTTGGTTTGCAGGCTTTGCAGAGAAAATTTTCTGGATTGGTTGTGGTGCTAGACTTCTTGAAGTTTTGAAGACATGTGTCTTCCTTCTTTTTAAAAAAACTCTAAATCTACAGCCTCCTAAGATGTGGCAACCATCTTGGAATTTGTTCAACCATTTACCAAAAGGTTCATGCAAGTTTCAACTAAAACCAAAGCGAGTACGTCACTTACCAGAGAATGATATAATAGTGTTGACGAGAACAGGGTGCACTGGTTCCCCATCGGTGGCGATCAAGGTTAAGTTGTGTCCTTGAATGGTAAGCTGAGCCGGACAAACGGAAGCGAAGGAATTGATCATCCTGAACCTGTACCTCCTTCCTGGTGTCATGGTGAAGACTTCCAAAGGCGTGTTGGTCATGAATCCGGTGTTGGGATCCCTGAACTGACCCTTACCGTTGATCAACAAACTCTCTGGGTCTTGACCGGTGTTGACAGCCAATCTTCCTGGGAACCTTTCAGCGGCGTCTTCGTGCATCCAATCGCTGAGGAGCATGACGTGGGTGGTGAGATCGTAGTCGTACAGGTGGCTGTTGGGATCCTTGGATGGAGGTTGACGGATGGCGATGCTGCCGTAGAGACCGTCCATCTTCTGCAGACCGGTGTGAGCGTGCCAGAAGTGGGTTCCTGCGTTTCCGGCCACCCATTGGTATCTGGAAGATTGGTAAAAGATTCGTTTAAGTTTACAAGTACCGACAGAAAGTTTCACAGCTTATTTTACTGGTTAAAATGTTTAAATTCATCATAATATAGTTTCTGGTAAGATGTTCAAGAATAAAAAAATAGACAAAAGTTCAAGTTCAAGAATAAAAAAATAGACAAAAATGGCTTTGAACAATATGATCGTTCATATTCTAATTTTTTTATAGTTTTGGTCGAGTCGAATCACATTTTCAGAAAATATCGGTTATAAATAGTTTGTATTCATAAACACATGTATTGAATTGAGTATTCGACACGAATACAAAATATTCATTCTTCATAAATTTTCTATGAACACTAAATACTGTACTAGTATTCTGTATTGTATTACTTTTTGACCAACTCTGACGCTGGAATTGATATTGAACATTGTGTTCTATATTTTCACTGGATTTTTTCCATGTTGCTTTCTTTTTTTAATAGGAATATTAGCGGAATATTATTTTACTATAAATTTTGATTTACTCGAATCATAGTTTCAGGAAATAACGATTGCAAATAAAATATTCATAAATACGTATACTGGATAGTATTCGACATATACACACAAAATATTCAGTATTCTTGAACTTTATACGTATGCTGAATACTGTAATCATTATTCTAATTCTGTGGTGTATTCATGAATACATATACCGAATGTATTCGACTCATACTGAATGTTATTCGACACATACTGAATGGTATTCGACAAGTACTTACACAAAATATTCGACACTTATTTAATGAATACTGTATTTAATAATTCTATTACTTTTTTACTAAAACTCTGGCGCTAGAATCGATATTCGAGAGTTGTATGATTGCGAATCCATCGATGTATTTGTTATTTTTCAAGAGATAAGTGTGAAGCTAAATTTTTTAATCTCTTTATTCATTGGTAATTTAACAACAGCGTTTCTTTTACTCGACCAATGGTTTGCTATGTTTACATAACCAGTTAAATGAAATACCTAGTTGGAAAAGTGTTAATGTCGATTACCACATGTATATGTTTGCAAGGCCAAATATTTCTGCGAAGGTTGAATTAAATAACTAAATTTTTAGTGGTATGTTTCATTCGCTGCAACAGCGGCATCTAAGTAAGAGTGGTGAAGGAAAATGTAGTCAAAAAGGGACAAATATTTATTCGTTTTAAATCAATTGGTTTCTGCATCTATTGTTATTAACATTGTTTCGTTGTACCTGTTTCCACATTTTCTAAAAATCAGTGGGGATATGTATAATAAGAGCAATTTTTTTAATTGTGCAAAGCAGCTGGTGAATTGTCAGCACTGCAAGAATATGCTGGACGTTATTGATCTAAAAAAATAAAAATACTTAAATACCGATATATTTTTTCGATAATTGTGTACCATGACACGGAACCACTTCCTACAACAATCTTGACCTTATTATTTTTCCGTTACACAAATACAAATAACTCTGATTCAACAATTTTTTCATTCGGTTGATTGTTCGTTGCATAATTACCGAATAGTTATTTCTGTTACAAAAATTTCACTTCCAAGCAAAATTATACCGTAAAAACCGCAGTAGCCGCTTACTCCGATTTTTGCTCACCATTTACGGAGTCTAATAGCAACGTTTACCGGAACCTTATTACAAGCAGCCCACATGATTACTGTAATATCTGAAAATGGCGTGTATGGTCATGAGGCGTTTGCCGACATAAAATGTTATCTGTAATCTAACTACCTGTTATAACATTACGTAGAATAATCCGCGCAAAGCGAATCGAGAACCAAGCAGTGGGCAAAAAAAGTGTACAGTACTTCTGTAATAGTCGAGGGGTTTTGATAATTACACAGTAACACAAATAAAGTAAAGTAGTCTGTACTTTTCATGCGAGATATGTTATCAGTAGTATTTTTGCATCCTGATCACGAATCCGGTGTCAAAATTGAGCTATCACATCACAGGAATTTCCTAACCTCAAAAAACAGGTCAAAATAGCAAAAATTCACGAAAAAGTGTTAGGACAACTAGAAAAATTGTTTTTTTCTATATTCAAATATTCATTTATATAGTTAAGACCTCGCCGAACGTGAATTAGCGGTCAGAATTGATGGTTCTTTTTCTAACCTCAAAAAAACGGGTCAATTAATGTCAGATATCACGAATTTTCAAAAAATTAGAAATTCGCGCCAAATTTGGTATACAGGGGTTTTCGAGGTCGCTGATCACGGATCTAAGGTCAATTTTGCAAAATTCAAGATGGCTGATCCAAGATGGCCCACCAAATTTTCAAAAAATAACATTCGCATCGAATTTGGTATAAAGGGGTTTTCGGGGTCGCTGATCACGAATTCGAGGTCAATTTTGCAAAATTCAAGATGGCGGTCGACCACCAAATTTTCAAAAAATAACATATTCGCGCCAAATTTGGTATACCGAGGTTTTCGAGGTCGCTGATCACGAATACGAAGTCAGATTTACAAAATTCAACCCGTGAATAGATCTTTTACAGAAAAAAGAACATGATATAGCCGAAAAAAGTATATTAACACGTGATTGGGTACTCAGGTTATAAAGTAAAATATTACATAATGAGTTTCGCAGTTCTGACCTCGAATACGTAATCAGCGACCCCGAAAACCTCCGTATACCAAATCTGCTGCGATTCTGTTATTATTTGAAAATTTAGTCGGCCATTTTGGATCCGCCATCTTGAATTTTGCAAAATTGACCTCGGATCCGTGATCAGCGACCCAGAAAATCTACGTATACCAAATTTGGCGTGAATCTGTTATTGTTTGAAAATTCGTGATATCTGACTTTAATTGACCCATTTTTTTGAGGTTAGAAAAAGAACCATTAATGCTGACCACGGATTCACGTTGGGCGGGATCTTAACTATATAAATGAACGTTTGAATACAGAGAAAAAAATTTTTGTATTTTTCCTAGCACTTTTTCATGAATTTTTGCTATTTTTTACCTGTTTTTTGAGGTTAGCAAATTCCTGTGATGTGATAGCTCGATTTTGACATTCTGATTCGTGATTAGGAGGCAAAAATACTACAGATAACATATGTCACATGAAAACTACAGACTACTTTTCTTTTTTGTGTGGCTGAAGTTGTTGACGTCGAAAACTTGTTTTCGTCTTCTGAACATCTCTGAAAGTCAAAAAAAGTTCAGAAGACGAAAAGAGATTGATTTTTGAACGCCAACAACTTTTTAAAGCACGCGAAAGAAAGTGTTTTATGTACTATATTTTGTATTTGTCTACTTCTTTCAGGGTGAGATTTTCTGGTTAGGCAAAACTTATTTCACTAAATTAAAAATCTTCTCACAGATGGCAATATACCCAAAAAAATAAAGAAAAAAACTGAAAACAGTTGCTATTTGTATGCTACAAATAAGTAACTTCAAACAATATCAAATTTCTCATCAAACAAATTGAAAATTTTCAAATATATGGCCCATCAAACGTTTCAGTGTTTCAATGTTCAACAGAACAAGTAGATAATGTGGCAATTTATAGCGTCCTAAACTGAATTACAACCAGACAGAAAAAATTGCTTACCTATGCAGGTGTATCAGTATATATCCGTATTGCAATCGTGTATTGCACTTATGCTCGATTACTAAGTACCAATTTTGTCTTAATTCCGAAAATTATAGTAGGTATACAAAATTCCCACGTAACTGAGACATTTGCCTTCTCTCGCGAATATCCGATTTAAACCAGCCACATGTTATATAAACATGTAGAAAGTAGTACGCAAGTTGTATATTGATTATAAGCAAATTCTGTTTTATTACTCTAATATATTACTTGAGAGAAACACACGATACCGGATTTGTATCTGTTAGTGCAACGCCTGTTTAAAGGCGCTGCAAAAAATATACTGCAATGACTATTACCGACAGAGACCGAATTGTTAGAAGCGTAGGTGCATTTATTGCATTGGTGTCAATTTAATAATTAAAACAATCAGCATTTTCCAATAATAATGAAATAGCAGATGAAAGTACTTTGTTGTCATCATAAGAAACTGTCCATTCTTCTAATTTTTACAGTTTGCTTCTCATTTTAAGTGCTAGTAAGCTTTTACTTGGATATTTCCTTTTAAACCAAGAAAGTGATTTTACCTGGGTGAACCATTATCTGCCCACGGGTTTTTAGCACAATGGAACAATAAATGGAGGTGTAAAATTAAAGGATATCGCGTCCTTTGATGTAGAAAGTAGCCTGCATTGTTGCTGTTCAGAGAAGTAGTTAAAGGGATAGAGTAAGAGTTGTTTATAATAAGAAATATTAGAAGAATAAAGGCTTAGATGTATAACTAAGCATAAGTATTATGGGAAGCAACTTCTCTGCGGACTAAAGCCCTGAACATCATTGAATTACACCAACAATATCTAGTAAATGGCTAAAATATTTCGAGTACAATTCAAACAGGCATTGAGCGGTGACCACCTAAGTAATAATTTAAGTTTTTCGAAATTTTTAAAATTTATAAAGAATGTTTAAAACCATCTGAAGGATTTATAGTTTTATCATTACTCGGATCCATTACTTATTAAGTATATTCGATTATTAATAATAAAACTCCTATAAAACTACAGCCAGAGAAAGTCCAAAAGGCTTTATTGTAGCAGGGGCGACTAGTAATTTTGGTTTCTATGAGGATGCGTCTGTCACAAATCAAGCAGAAACTCACCTGAACGTGTTACCTTGCTGGATGGGGCATTGGGTTACGAACGGCACGCCGTCGTAGTACTGAGTGCCTCTTTGCCATACTCCATGCCAATGGATGGTCACTTCCATACCTTCCATGTGATTCTCTACATCGACGACAACTTTGTCTCCTTCGCATACTTGTATGCTGGGTCCCGGCACCATACGGTTGGCGGTGAGGATTCCCCTTTCGACACCGTCGGCCAAAACACATTGGCAATGGGACGACACTGTATTCGTCGCGTTCGGCGTACAGACTTGACAAGCTCTGTAAAGAGGAGAACATAATTTTTATTATAGTGTATCAATATAGTGATAAGTGCATCAATATTTGTTTCCATTATTGAAGCGTTGAAATATCAAAGTACCAAAAAGTGATATTTGAGGTATTTGACATAAATAGTATTAAATTTAAATTAATTTTCCGTAGCAACGCGTCTAAATAAGAAGATAGGTTAAATAAAGTTGTGTGCGCATAAGTAGACAATGTCTACTGTATTACAGAGAGAAGCAGAAGTGACAAGCAGAAGGTACATAGTGAGATCTACTAATAGAGAAATATATACGAGTATATACGATACTTTATTTAATTTATTTTAAGACTTTGTATTTTCTGAACTTACTATTTACTTATGTACATAAATATATCGTACAAAACTACTTGTCATAATTGTTGAGAGTTTAATGATTAAAAATAATTGGCGGATTGTTAAATTGGGTTTTATTATAAATTTATGAAATTACAACAGCAACACTATGTCCTTATCTAGAACTGACTATTTAACGATTATTACTTGTTTGGCCCTAACTTCCACAGTTTCTGCATCCATTTTAATTAGGAGCAAACGGAACACAGCACTCTGTAACTATATGCACATGTTATATTATGGACATGATCTAAGAACAACAAGAAACACTACCTTTTAATATAGTCCATACTAGCCTATTGAACTACACAATAACTACAGGCAAAGACACGACTGTCAGGGGACAACACAACTTGGTCACGTGATTGGAGTAATTTTTAAATAATATTTTTTACTATTGAACTGATAATAGTTTTAAACTATATAAAAATTTAACTTTTATAACCAGCTGATTCACATTTAAGAAATTATATATTTCCTTTAAAGTTTAATTGTAACGCTTGATAGGCCAATATAAAATAATATTTATTAAATAAAAACGAATATAAATTTGAATTAAAAATGTTGTTCTTTTAATTCGCCTAACAAATATTCTAAAATCATAAATGGTTTTATTAAATCTAATTTGTTAATTATACCTAGACAAACCTGTTGCAAACTGTTTCTTTTTTTAATTCAAACAAATCAAATGACTTGTATTGAATGTAACTGGTTTAACTCACAATCAATGTAACTAGCATAAATGTAAACTAACTGCATTCAAAACAACCGATTGCTTTAATAGAAAGTAATTGTTTTTTCAGTGTAGCCACTGCGATCCGTCAGACATAAATTTCCCTCCTGTTTTTTCAAAAATTGTTTTAAACTGAAATATGTCGAAAAGTCCTGAATCAAACAGTAACACATTATACAGGGTGGTCGCGATGTAATGGGCCAAAATTCATGACTAGATTCCTGACGTGAAAATATTGTGTTTTAGACAAACTCACCTTAGTCCAAATGTTGATACTTACAGAGATACAGGGTGTTTAATGCAAAATATTATTTTAGTTTATTTCCATTTATTTCTTAATAAATGCAAATATCTACACAAAATTTAGGGGTTTGGGGTTCTTTGGACGGAGGAATTGAAATTTGTTCACATTTTGGTATAGTATAGCTTTTTTGTGTAAAAGAAGTTGTAAAATCAGAATTTGCTACCTGAGAATTAGATTTTTGAAAGATAAAAAAGTTCTGTCGTTTTCAACGCATTCGACCTAGCACAGGTGGCGCTCTCTATGAGCTACAAGCAAACCATGGATATATTTCAATCTCTCGCCCGAGAAAACCCTTAACACCAAAATTTCATCTCGATATGAGCATTTATTATGAAATAAATAAGAAAAAACTAAAATAATATTTTGCATTAAACACCCTGTATCTCTGTAAGTATCAACATTTGGACTAAGGTGAGTTTGTCTAAATCGCAATATTTTCACGTCAGGAATCTAGTCATGAATTTTGGCCCATTACATCGCGACCACCCTGTATATTTCTGAAAAGAGAAAAATTTAACGAAGCAAAGTATGCACTAATATATAGGGTGTACATTTTAAAAAAAATGTTTTCTTTAATTTAGTGATTTCCATTATTCAATTGTTTTTTCTAATAGGTACTGTATTATAAAAATTCATAAAAAAGATAAAACTTTTTTGTAATTTCAATAATAAACTCATAATGAGTTGTCAGATTATAGTGACTAACCCTGTACACTAGTTATTTTTAACATTTTGGTGAATAATTCAAGAGAGAAAAGTTGACAAAATTGAGTCGTTTCAATTTAATTTTTTTTGAAGAGCTAATTTTGCGACTCCGAAAAAAAGATGCAATGAGAGATCTCTAAAGGGTTGCAACTCCTATAGCAGACGTTTTTGGAAATAAATTTATATAGAAGACCACGTTTATTATTCTGCAAAAATAAAGTTTTTCGCAATATTAAAGACACATTCCTAATAATTTCCAGTTCTTATATTAAACAGATACTTCTAAATTTACTTTATCTACAGGATCCACACTTTAGATTAAGTGTACGTTTCCTTTTACAAATCATGTCCGTGGTTAATTTTACAGTAAGATACCATGTATATGAAACGGAATTATAGTGGACATTTATAATTCCAAGCTATTATAAAACTGGTTGATCCGCTCGCCACCTGTGGAAAAGGCGTTAATAAAACTCTTAGAGATGACTGCCCACTTTTAAACCAACTCACGACTAAATTCTAATTGAAAAAACTGAAATATTAAATGATTAAACGTCAAAATAAATTTAAATTCATACCCTCTGATCGATCTGCCTGGGTTGCCCGTCTGATCGCACGTTGCTATCTCCATTTTCCATAAGCGGATATAAAATCCGGCACGAGCCGGAAGATCATATGTTAACGCGGATTAATAACATCCCAAAGTGATGTAAACATTTCTCCAATCGCGAGTGATTAAAATTCTGCTCATATATCACTAATAAATGCAAATGAAGTCAATGGGATCAGAGGTATGCGTTGTGCATAAAAATACATAATTTATTTACCGTGACTGGCTACTCAACTCCTGGTTTAGATAGGCAGCAGTAATTATGAAACATATGTCGCATTAATAGGTAGGAAAAAATGACATGAATTAATCATTAAAAACTATAATTGGTACACGCAGGATGTCCATTGTGTTCTCCGAAACGAGTTCGTATTCGATTGTTGCCCTCTTGTCTGATTAACTTGATTTGCATTTGTTTTGGTAGCTATTTTTAGACTGCTGTTGAGAAACAACCGTTACCGAAAATCGAATACGCTTTTTGCCTGTACTTTTCGGAATATAAGCCTTCAAGATTCTACCCCCTCCCTCCCATAATTTTTTAAATACGCCAGTGAATATCTAACGTTTTTAAAAAACCTCAAGATATGGCAAAGTTTTTGATACTCTTTACTTTTTGTCCTGGGACCATTCGTCCAAGTAAAAAGCAATTGTTTTGCGCACACCAAAAGTTCTAAAATGGTTTTAGAATAAAAAATTCGTCAATCCAGCTTTAGATTGCACAAAAATTATTCGAATCATCTGTGAAATAGGTACGCTAAAATAGATCAAATCATTACAAATATATCAAAAACGGGTAAATACATGAAAATACCATTAGAAATGGGTCCTAAACTTCTAAAAACTTCAAGACAAAATGCTTAAGGCTTGGAATATATAATAATTTCAGGATATATCACCATGCATCTAAAGAGCTTTAGAATCCTTAAGAAAGCACTAAAACTACATATGACAAAGTACTATATAACGGTTTCAAAAGTATTAGCATTAAATTGTACACAAATTCTTCAAATCCGCTATGAAATACGGTAAAATTGGAGGAATCGCATTGAAAATATATAGAAGACAGCGGCATCAAAATGTCACTAGAAATACATCGAAAGTTTAAGAATTTTTTTCAAGATAGGTAATCTAACGAAAGGACAATCGTTTCCCAAAAGTTTTCTCATTTATATTTATCGTTTTTTCTCTCGTTTATTGTATTTGTGCAGGCCGATTAAATTCTATTTGAATATAGCCTATACTCTGAGGAATAATTATACTAAAGGGAAAAGGTTTACCGTTGTACAATTTTTTTTTTGTAGTTGAACATTTGTTTTTTTTATAATTTATTGTTTGTTAGTTAGTATGTGGTGTGAATAAAGCCATTATAAAAATATAAAATAATATATTTTCCTGTTACATTATACATTCCATATTGAACTCGACATGTCTCGAAAACAAGTAAATATTGGGGAAAACTTTATATTACAAAAATTACTCAAAATTTAACGATCTTTCAGATGGACCGCATTTGTATCTTCCAGGAATCAAAAAATTTTTAGTATCGCCACGCCATCTATACAGAAAGATTTGAACTAACAATTCTAACTGAAATTTGAAGCTATTCGAGGAACCTAACAACCCCAGTTTGCGGAACTAAAATAAATCTCGTCATTTCAGAGATATTGCCAGCGGGCGTGTTAAATGACACACCCTGTATATTTACAGTTTTTACGCACACTTTGTAGATCCATTAAATTTTATTTGAGATACCCTCCCGAAGGTCGTCTCGAAGATAGACATTTTTCTCTTTTAGATTTACCGCCTTTATCCCTTTTTGTTTGTTACATTTAGATATTTTACCCTCTCTCGACCCCTTAGACACTCTGCCAATCCATGGTGTTATTTGAAAAGAAAAAGGAAAATCGTTATAGAAAGTCATCTCGACGTTAGATATTTTTTCGCTTTTACTTTTACAATTTATACACACATGTCAATTGAATTCATCAAACCAAAAAAACCACTCTGAAATTGTATTGATATTCAGCTTCAGCTCCATTAAAAGATTTGTTTTTTGTGTGCGCATGTGTGTTTGAAAAAGCATCTTCAAAGGAAAAAACTAGTTTATACTAAACAGTGAAAGTATATAATTAATTTTTGCAGTACTCTTTTACCTGAAGTATTGTTTTTGTTGAGGTCAAGGGAATAGATGTATCTAACATTTCTTCTATTACTTATATTTTCTAATTTCATTTAAATGGTTTCCAAACATCCTTATACGTACCTTCGCATCTAAACAGGCTGTAGAAATATCACGTAAATTATTAAGATTTTCATTTTATGTAAATAATTTGCAATTATACACAAATAACTACAAGCACCTGCTTTATGATTAACATTAATCTAGACTAGAACATTATAAATACTTAATCTTGAACGTTCAAAGATTTACGTAAGGACGTACTCTGCTGTTGGTTACTTTCTCTGTAGAAATGTTTCATTGATTTACAATTAATCATAATAAACAAATGGCTGATATCAATCTGGCTTATCCTTTAATAATACCAATTACGCTTTCTCTTGTGTAATAAATATGTTGTAATTGAAAGCGTTTGCCAAGATAAAAAGGTACTTAGAGAGTTTTAAAGTCTAGCTCCAAGCTTTACATGTGGAATAGGTGAATTGGTTTTAAGATAAATCTAATCCACTTACGCGCCAAGTACGGTGTAGTATTCCAAGGTGAAGTGGTAGTAACAAATCCTTGGTGCTTCCCCTTCCCTGCAAGCCCTAGCACATTCCTCCGGAGACGACAACGACGGGTTCTTCCTTAGTTCTTCCGTAGAAGACGTCCTATAGTTCAAATGTTTGCTCTTCGTGGAGAAGGTATTCCTTCCTCCCCCAGAGCTTCCCTCTCTAGATCCAGAGCTCTCTCTGGAACCGTACGGTCCTCTTTCGGGGTGGGTCTGGAAGACGCCATGCGTGGAGGAGAAGAAGTCTGAGTTGCTGCTCACGTCGTCTTGGATCCACGAAGCCGAAGCTGATTGGTCAGCAGCTGCAAGAGAAGGAACGTGTAGAGTTAGAGAATCTTTAATTTTAAAATAGTTGTAGTCTCCAAGTAAAAAAGAGCATCACTGATAATGCAACAAATGAAACACGACCTATTTATGGTAACCGATATCCAAATAGACTTTATCACGTGGTTTTAGATACTGGCAGTGTTGTTCCTCGCCCTGGGCAAATTCCCGTACATGTAAAAGAGCAGATATTCAAGAGAGGTAAAGAAAATATAGCTGATTGAATTCGTTGTAACTCAAGTGTTTTCTAGCCTTCTTCCTCATCTGTGAGGAACAAGACGATGTTATGATTTCATCAGAAGTCCGTCTGCTGTTGAAATTATTGACGATATAAACTGCGTAGTAGCAAAGAAAATGCCATTGTTCGGATAGCTAATTGTTGTTTTTACATTTAACATCACTAAATGATAAATTTTTGTACAAGGTTGTATTTTTATTAGTTACACGCTTTTGTTAATTAAAAATTAATTATTTATTCCAAATAATCTCTTCATACATATTCAAGTATTATCATCATCCAAGGACGTCATGAATATTACAGCAATTCAGCAACTGTTAATATCAGGTAAAGTGGCTTACATTTTAACAAACTCTGTCATAACTAGGCTTAGTGTGGCGAGGAGTTTAACAGAACCGTAGTCAGATTACGAATGAAAATATTAATATGGTTACAGAAAATATGTCGCAACATAGTACTATGCAACCAACATTGCACGACTGGTACATACTTGGCCTTGTTTCTATGTTTATTATTCTAAAATTTGATCAATATAACGTATACTTATTGTTAATAACAATTGTTGTACTTTTATTATCGGTTTTGTACCTCTGTACTATCATTAGGAACTTTCCAAGTCCGTATCTGATCTAAGTACGACAAAATTCTACAGATGTTGTAAGTAATTATTGCAAACTAATATACGAAACCATGTGATTCTACAAAAGGTGAACGCTATAAATGACTCTTCTCGATCGCGTGGAATCTATTACGAAATAATTTTTGGGCCGCTGCTAGAAACTTACTATCGAATTGCAGACGTTCTTTTTAACAAATTATCGACAGTACAGCATTCATGCCTAAAGATAATAAAACAAAATATGCGAAACGACGGGAAATTTTGTTCTAAAAAGATGGCATACTTACAGAAATATACGCGTGTGTAGAAAGCCTCTCTATTTATTTGTATTCCTTAATGGAAGACCCGCCTAGCCTTGAAACGATTCCTCACAGCCTTTGGCAACAAATTATAATCTTAATCGATACGGAAATGAACAATAAAATCGACATCGACTGAATTTATCCCGTATTGCCGTTCTGCGTGTTATGGAACTTGTCTGCATATGGTGAATATAACAACTGTTACTGGTTTAATTGCGTATTAATTTGTAATCAATACGGTAATTCGCTCACTTTCGTTGTCAAGCAAGGAAAGCCTTCTGGTTTGAGCAAATCGACGAAAACGAGAAGTGAGTAGAAAGTGAAACAAATGTATGGAATTAATATATACACCATATTTGAAGAAACACATGTTCAGACTTCTCTTTTGAGGTAATGAACATGCGTCTGTTTCTTCAAATGACAAAGCATCCTGACTAGATATTTTAAAGGAAAATTTGAGCTCGCCACTGCTTTTTTATAAGATTTGATATTATTTTCAGAAGGAATAAGTAAAAACACAATTTTTTATGGAGTTTTGCCACGGAATGTCTACGCTACCATAATTTACTTTTTTTTGTTACCAATTTTGGATAAAAAAAAGACGCTAACCAATCTTTGTCATAGATTATACGATTAATAGAATTTATTAAGCTCTATTAATTAAATTAATCAATCAATAAATAACTCGGTCAATAAATAAATTTCTTAGGTACAAGGGTGAGAAATGTGTTCGTGTTTTCGAAATTTGGTTTATTTTCAAAGTCAACCTCGGAAGTTGCTGAACCGATTTGAAAAATTGTTCCACTTTAAAAATCTTTCTCTTCCGTCTCTCCGAGTGACATATGTTAAGCCATTATTTAAAATTCCGAAGGAATTTGTCAAAAACCAATTAATTAACACACTTTTAAATTTAATTCTCTTATGTAAAGAATTAACGTAACTTTTGAAATATGTTTTGTAACACTTAATAGGGTATAGATCAGTATAAACGTCAAATATTATCCGGAACTGCTATAAAAAATCGTATTTTAACAATAATTATTATGTATTGTTAGAATTATCTAACTAAAAGGTTTATACACCTAGGAAATAGAATGGATATAGCATATTTGCACAAAATCTCAATTTGTATACAAAAAAGCACGCTTCTCGATTAAGATCCTTGGTGACAATAATAGTACAGTCATTGAAGCTGAAGATCAGCTGTAACCTCCGAATTCTTTGAAACTGCATGGATTTGCATGAAAATTAAAAATAAGACTCATCTTGGCTCAAGTTTAAAAGTGACATAAGCCCGATTGACGCTTTTTGTTTAAAAATAAAAATCCCTCATTGCTTATGAAAGAAGTTGTATCTCATAACACTTTTCAACACTTATAAATCACCCCTGTGCTAAAAAACTGATAAAAAATTACGTTTTAAATATTGGAATGCTATAATTGTGGAAAAATTTAAAATAAAAATTCCCTTATATTGTTTATACACGCTGACGCGCCCTTGAATCCTAACATTTTGCTCCAAAAATGAGAAAGCCTATTTTGCTCCGAAAAAATGTCATTGGTTTTTTTACCATAACTCGGTTAATTTCGAAGCTATAGTATCCTACAAAAAAGCATTTAAAGATAATTTCAAGAGCTGTAAGATCGTTTGCAAGTCCTTCGTTTTTTAAAGGGAAAGGATCGAAGGGCTCGAGACAGGACGTTTTTTCACTAAAGTCGATACTTCAAGCGGCGATATCTCCTTTATTTTTTATATAGGAATAAATGCAATATAAATATTTTGAGTTGAAAAAAAAGCTACATTTTTGTTGTCTATTATTTTTTATGTATCTTTCATAGTTTCAGAGTTATTATATAAATAAGGCAAAATACGTTTTCAAGTTTTACCGTACATTATTCAAAAAATACTAACTCCAGGTTCGTATGAAAAACACTAAAACAAAACTAATTTTAAAGGGTCTCCGATTAATTTTAATTCTGATGGAAATAGTACAGCGTTTACTGTTCATATTTCCTTAAAAAATATAAGCAACCCATCTGTTTTTGACGATAACTCCTTCAATTTTGCTCTAATAACTTTTATAAGTGTTCATTATGAAGGTCTTTTTGAGTACTACAAAAAACTTCCGGAAACTTCTTTTTTCCGTTATTTCACTTAGTACTTAGTCTTTAAATAATTACTTAAAAAATAACAGGCAGAAAGTATAGTTATATTTGTGTGATTTAAAATTGTTCATTTGATTTGAACGTTTTGTTTTCAAATATTTAAAATGAAGAAAATAGTAAATATTATTGTTTGTTTAAATTACACAAGTCGACAAGATTTTAACCCAACATCACGAATATACATTCCCAAAGAATTTTCCTAGGTCCAAATTTCTCAATTGGCTTTGGTTTTCGAGATATCCTAACCTAAAAGTGCCAAAATCGCGATTTTTTGACATATTTGAGGTTATGTTACATGGAAAGGTAATTTTTTTGCTGAAACCCTTAATGGGGTCTTAAAGTACTATATTTAGTCTTTGAAACGCACGGGATTTATCCTGATGTCATTTTTCGTGTTATTTCTCGATTTTTTAAAATACAACACAGCATCATAGCATTGCAGCAACAAATTTCTTTTGTGAGTTATTTTTTGGAATTATTTTCAAGTAAGTATGTTACCCAGATGTACTGGGGATTTGTGCACCAACTCACCTTTGCTCATAATTACTAATATCATTATTCCAAACTTTATCAATTCACGTTAAACATCTTAAGAGACATGCTGATAATCTCGATGTTTTATTTAAACTTCAACACCCTGTACGTCGAAAACAAAGCGTGTCCATAATACCTTTTTTTATCGATTTGTTACATAAATCACCATCACCGGATCACCATTAAAGTTTGACAGAACATTTCGTCAGCACCTTCTATACAATCCGATAAAGAAGTGTTTGGGCAACAACGAAAAATCAAATTCTGATTCGTTAAAAATGCCATTATATTTATGTAAGTACTTAAATTTTCAATCTACATAATATTTTTAACATAGCAAAGCAGGTGTGCTCGGAGAAAGCCGCTTAAGTCCATGGAGAATGAAAAATTTTAAGGACTTACACAACACTATAAATGGTCTATTGAAAACGATTCGGCTGGTTATTCAACATTACAAAATGATAAATTCGGGGCTTGCGAAACGTTTCCAAACATAATTTTTGAAAAGCCAGCTGTTTATTTCCCAAACGTTTTTGCAAGTAAAATATTGGCCAATTAAAGAGATTAGTTGGTAATAGCCGTGTTGTCATACAGAAATTAAATAAATCAGTCCATTGGACCATTGAATTGTTCTTTTCATAGCAGTCGCGTTTATCTTCTGTTGTTTCATAAGAAATACGGTTTTTGTTTAAAGGAGACTTCTCGGTAATAGCTAGATTGATTGTTATGATAATAGTTTGTAACAATGATTGGCAGAACTAAAAGCTTTTGTTAGATAAAAATGTTAATGTGGAAAACATTCGGTATTGTCGTTGAATAAAAATGTATCATTTTTAGGAAAGGAATAGTATTTAGAAAATTGTTATACGTTGACATAACTTTTTTGGAACACCCTGTTGGTGTGTCATATTTTGTTTATGGTTTTCACTATATCTTCACTATTTTGAGTAATTAAACAAGAAATTGTAGTATTATAAGTAAGTGTGCAGAGAAAGCAGTATGAAAATTAAATTAGTAAAAGTACATGCCTAAAATACTTCAAGCCTTGTAACCCGAGGTTATTTGTATTATTTTGAATGTTTATTTTCATGATTTTAACGCCACTATTTCAGCTCGGACA